CATTGGCAGACCTCCTTGCACGGGATCCACCACCACTACCATCAGAGGAACGTTTTGTCCCTCCAGTCTGGCTAGCAATAGGGCCATCCAACAAAGGCTTCAATCTACTACAGAAGGGTGGCTGGAATGAAGGAGAAGGGCTTGGTGCACACGTCGCTCGATCTTTACGCCCCCGATCGCCAGCACACACATCATCTGTATCAATCTCACATGCACCCTTGCAGGGGGCAAGTATACCAGTCGGCAACGCGAAATCTCGAGACAGACTGCCCGACGTCATTGACCTCACCCAATCCGAGTCAGAGTCAGAAGATGACTTTGAATCTTTCCACCGATCTCCTTCCCTTCCGCTTGCTCCAGCGTCTAGTGCATCTAAAGAACTTGATCCATACTCCCAGAAGTCGCTGTTGACGCCTATTCCAACGATACTCAAATCTGACCGCCTTGGGATTGGTTTGAAGGCGAAAACGGAGGGCCCATACAAGCAGTCTAAGAAGCGGGTTACTCATAACCAAGCAGCATTGGCATCCCACATTAGGACCTCTGAGGAGCTGCGGAGGAAGAGGGCTGAGGTTGGTCGAGGTCGAAGAGGATTTGCGAAGGTACGAAAGCGCGAAGAGAACGAAAGGAAACGCATGCTCGCATATCTTAATGAATAGTATATGACCTCAGATTAGCTCAAGAGATCAAGTGAATTGCATGAAAACTACCAACTACACACGAGGAATATTTTAATAAGTGACAGCCTTTCGTTACATACATAATGTCGTGACGTGCAGACACTGTCGTGCGGGTAAGTACAGTATACAAGCAGTACAGGAAATCCATATTGCACCCATCAATTCAAGTACTTGCAGTCTAGGTGTGTATGTTCGTGAGAAATATTAATCAGGAGCTGCTTGACGCTAGGGAAGGATAGACTCTCCCCATATCCCTTTTGCTGGCTCACAGCGAACATCGCGGACGTACATCTTGAGCCACTGCACCATCTCTTTGCTGATCTGATGACAGCGGGTAACATCGATCGACGACAAGCGACAAGGCTGCATTGTGGGCGTCGCAGGACGGCTGAGGGACAAGGCGTGGATATGAGCAGAGGCAGACGCGGTGGATAAAAAGGACGAGCGCGAGGCTGCTGCGGCCGAGGCAGAAGAGAGTTGAGGTGGGCGACCACAGAGGCGAGATTCCACAAGTCCTCGTAGAGCATCCCATTCGAGTGCAGTGCACCCGTCAAGGTTGAGACGGTCTAGCTTGGGGCATACCCAAGGATGGGCCACAGGCGGCGAGGAAAGATTCTGATGAGAAGTAATTGGAAGATGCACTAAAGACACAGTTATGTGGATGCTCACCTTTAACAGGAAGCATGTCACATCCTCCACATCAACCAACTCCAGAGTAACCAATGATGTAAGCCGCCGAAGTAACATTATAAACTTCGGTTCGTTCAAGAAACTTGACTCAATACGAAGATACTTGAGTGGAAGGGAAGTAAGAGATTGTTGTCGAAGGTGCTCCAAAACTGGTGTGAGGTTGTCGAGGTAGCAGAAGTCGAGCGATTCGAGCGCAGGGAACGATATTTGACTAAGAAGCATCCGTGTACGCATGATGCCTGCGTAATAGAACGATGCCTTGGTAAGCCTCGGGAGTTTCACGACCTTCGTAGATATGAACTCATGTTCGAGAGAAACACAAGTCTCAGGATCCACGTCCGACATGTTGCGCAATGCAAGTTCTTCGAGACCTGGGCAGCCTCGCAGAATGTCTAGCAAGGTGTCGACAGATGGTGAAGACCCGTTCCAGTAGCCCCCTAGCTGGAGCACACGCAGGTTTGATACGACTCTCCTGTCCCAGTTGAAATTAAAGGACGTGAAAGAGCACGAACGAAGGCGGGGAGTATGCCCCTTAAAAAGCGGAAGGCAGGGGCTGGAGTAATGGTCTTCCTGCATAGAATGGAATACACGGATACAAAGACTTTCCAAATAGGGAGCTTCTTCTCTACAGCGCAGAAGGGCAGCATGTGCCTGTGGTTTGTTAGGAACACTGAGGCGAAAGGACCTTGCTCGCCAAAGCGCAGGACGAATGAGATCCATCGCATGGATAATACTCTCCATGGCGCCGCTCGAATTGTCAACTCGAGGAGTAAAGTTGATTGTGATATCGAGAGGTACCGACTTTGAACGTGCGAGCTTGCGATGCGCTTTCTCAAGGGAGTCGTGCGGACTCACGCAGATATCCGCCCACAGTTCTGGGGTGTCGATGGCGACGTCCCTCCAATATCGGCAAACCAACATTAAGGTCGCTACTAATAGGGGATCCTCCTCCCCCATATTACACACTCCTGCAACGAATATTGACGAAAGGAGTTCTTCTGGAATTCGATGGATAGGAGATTGGGATCGAACAACTTGTTCCAGGTGCGACTCTAGCTCTTGGCGCTGGTTGAGCAAGGATGCCATCTGTGTATCCAGGGAGTCCAGTGCCTCCCTCAAATGAGGGATGGACACACCCGGAGTTGAACTTCCTCCTGATAGTGAGTGGTCGACATTGTATCGTGTCATGGATAGCGCAGAGCTTTCACGACGAGGAGGCGGTCTGCCGTTGGCAGACGGCGTTGGGATAAAACCTGGAATGCATTGCGAAACTGGTTGAGATAGGAAATGAATCGCTTCATAAGGTGGAGGAGGAGACGTTGGTGATGAGGACGTCGAGGACGATACACTAGATGGTCGAGTGAGAAAGGCGGCAGTTACATCGGGTAACTTTGAACCACGGCGATCAGCGATGATAGTGGTATCGTCTCTAGCTGAGCGAGATAAAGATGGCCACTGCATCATATAGTATGATGGCTACAGGTGATCGATGGGTACGTGGTTGTCACTGAGCTCTTTATGAGTGCTGAACAACCGCACGTAAAAAAGTGTTGAATTAATAACGGTGATGTGGTTGTAGGGCTTTCAACAAAACGCGGCTTGACTAGCCGTGGACGTTTTCAAACACCACCTGTTCGTGTACACATAAGTGTCATGGCAATTAATCGATGATGAAGATAGGACATGCCTGCGTTTGTGATCATCTCGGTACGTACAGAGTTGACCGGACAGAAGGATGGGGACCCAATCCGACGAGAAACTGGAAGGTTTTAAGTTGATCGCACGGATAAGAATGTACCTGCGAAATAATGGAATCTTGCGGTGTCCGTCGAGATTGGCACGAGGCCGGGAGCATGTTGTATTGAGTTACTCCAGGAGGACATTTCATCCGGAATTGTTTGATGAAACTTGCAACGTGCGGCGGCAAAATAGCAATTCGGGCACGAGGAGAGCAACGAGGCAAAGTGAGATTCAAACAAAGTGCAAAGTACCTGGTTCGATCCGAATCCCTTTCCCACACAACTAACAAGAACTGCAAAATCCAGGGATGTGGGTCATTTGTACCATAGACATCCTCCTTGACGTTTTCTGGGCAAAATGGCAATGCAATCAGTTCACGAGCGTGCACGTCATCTCCGTCAGCCCAGCCAACATAAAAATACAATTGCAATAGATAGCATATGCCTAAGTTCGTAAAATTCTACTGGAACGTACGGTTGTCGAATGGGAACGCTGAACGGGGATACACTTACGCCGGAACTCTATCGATCCAGCCTCGCTGCCCCGAAATAAATCCGTAGTAAAAAAATTGGCTAAGCACCTAAAGATAGGAGAATTAAAGTTCTGAGTGAGCCTATGGCCCATTTGGCAGAAAGCGATTGGACGCACAAGTATATCGAGAAAGACGGTCAAACCACTACCTGAAGGATTTAAGCGATTAGTCAACTGCACGTACAAAGTACATAAGTCATGAGCAAATACCTGCTAGCCAGCTTGCATTCCTGATCAGATAATCTACGTCGCGAGATGCAGCAATAATAGATAATACGTATGTCGTGTTTCCCAGGATAGAGAAGACAAATAACCCAGGAGCCAGACCCTCGCATCTAGTCTTGAAGTTCTTGACTGTATTGAAATTCAGAACAGTGGGACTGGCAATATGCGTGTGTGACACTAACCTATTTGCGGCAGCCGGGCAAAAACTGTCGAGGAAGATAGTAAGTGAAGGCATCCACACATGGTATGACAAGAACACACGATAAGCAGTGGCGCTGGTCCACCCTATTAGTTGGACATGCCAATCCAACTTCGTATCTGGAAGGGCTGGAGAAGTGTCATCGTTGGGAAGCCAATTGCTGATACAATACGCCGCCACACCAGCGGCTGATACGAATGAGACAGCGGCCAGGTACCGCACAAAAATTTGCGTAATCGAGGACCCTGGTCTTTCGGAGGGATCCGCCGAGCGACTATCAGCAATAAGGCAGGTTTCTTCGGAAACCTCCCCTGGGATGTGCGCAGGTACAACGTGCTGCCCGGTTTGCCGCTTCCATCGGTAATAGTATACTTGGCAAAGCAATGTTGTGTCGCATAAAGTGTACTAACCGATAAATGTGTCATCAGGGAGGTAGATTACAAGTAGCACATGAAACTCACATAAACTCCAAGAATAATCACGGTAGGCAGCAATCCAGCCATCACTGCACCCATAAGATTACATACATCACCCAATAACCATACATAGATGAAAAGGAGAGATAAACCCTCCCCACTCTCTAGTTGGTAATTCTCAATTATCTGGGGAGAATATACGACAATCCTGCACAAGATGAGTCTGATTTTTTGACATGAATTCTTTGCCTCACTGACCAGCATGCTATTGAAATCCATCCAAACTTCAATAAAATTCGAAGTCAGCACAGGGTCAATTGAAATATGCGAATACGCACGACACTACTAGCTGCATTTCCTTGCCCGAACATTGATGGTTGACCGGTGACCGGTGGTATCACTTGGTAGCTCAGCGCTCAACGTCCAGTACTAATACTAATAGATAAGATGCCAGTGGAAGGAACCAAAACTAAATCAAGGTACAATTTTTTTTGGGTTTGAAATTTGAAATTTCATGAAAGAGCACGTGACGTGTGCCGGTGTGTGCGTACACTACCGTTGCCTGCAAACTGGCAGTAGGCTTTGAACTTTCTTTATAAGTCTCCAAAGTATACTTCACATCATGAACAGTCAAGACGCATTTAGAAAATTCGCTCAGCAACTACAGAGGGCTAGTCAGTCTGGAGGTGGTGGTGGGATGCCAGGAGGTCCAGGTCGCTTCCTTGCAGGCGGGGGCCTTATAGTCGCGCTGGTGGGCGGTGGACTTCTTCTGAACGCGAGCTTGTTCAATGGTGTGTCTCGTGTCGTGAATTCTGTAGTGGCTTCTGACAACCCAAAATAAGTTGATGGTGGCCACAGAGCTATCAAATATACTCGGTAGGTTGTTGTGTCACGCGCTTTCTAAGTTGATGGCTCATCCTGCTTTAGTCTCCAAGGTGTCAAGGATGAGGTGTACAACGAAGGGACGCACCTCATGGTCCGTTCCACTCTTTTTCAATGCAGTTTGATTGTTTACGCTCCTCAGGTTCCCTGGTTCGAGACTCCAATAGTTTTCGACATTCGCGCGAAGCCTCGGAGTGTAGCAAGTTTGACTGGCACGAAAGGTGACGTCTGCAGCTCGCGGCATTCTTTTACTCGCTTACTTTGGAACTGTAGATCTGCAAATGGTTAACATCACTTGCAGAGTTCTGTCCCGACCGGCTGTATCTGCTCTGCCTCAAATATACCGCGAACTAGGAAAAGACTACGACGAGCGCGTGCTACCGTCTATCGTCAACGAAGTTCTCAAAAGTGTGGTCGCACAGTTCAATGCAAGTCAGCTTATTACACAACGTGAGATGGTGCGGGGTATTTTCAGTTGCTGCTCTGTGATCAATTGACGATGAGTTTTGCATCAGGTGTCCCGGTTAATTCGCGAGAACCTAACAAATCGCGCATTACGTTTTAACGTGGTGCTGGACGATGTGTCTATCACCCATGTGGCGTTTTCACCCGAGTTTACGCATGCTGTTGAGGCTAAGCAGGCGAGTAATATGGCACCACATCTCCTATTTGCGAAGTTAATTCCACCCTAAAGGTCGCTCAACAAACAGCTTTGAGGGCCGCCTTCTTGGTTGATCAGGCCATTCAAGAAAAGCAGGTAAGATTCCCTTGCAGGGATTGTCAGTTTTTCTTGACTCAGATGTATCTTCTGCAGTCTATTATAGTGCGAGCCCAAGGTGAGGCAAAGAGTGCTGAGTTGATCGGCGAAGCTATGCGCTCCAACAAAGGATTTCTGGAACTCCGTCGGCTTGAGGCCGCAAGGGATATTGCCAACATGCTAGCCTCCTCGGGAAATAAAGTGATGTTAGATGCCCAGAGCCTCTTGTTGAATGGTATGTTGTCTCCTGCTTTGTGATCATCACTGTTAACAAATCCCTCATTTACACAGTGACTGGAGAGGACACAAAGGAATTGCTGAAAGTAAAGAAGTGATCTTATTGCCACATTTCGTCATCATCGTCACCGTCGCTGCTAATGAAAATGCATATGTCGACTATGACCTTACATATTGAACTTCAAACTGCAGGAACGCATATATCTGAAATAAAGCATGAAGGCTCAGTGGCACTCTTGTCCATGATCACATCATCCTTTCCACTCCAGCGTGCATCATGCTATGTTAATTGCAAAACATGGGTAAGCAAATAATGTCGGAAGCGTCTCCAAAATTTCGCGGGACGGCCGACCTTCTGAATGCGTCTCATTTTCTCCTATGACTTGTTTACCCGACAGGACTTATGCTATTTGTTTTTTGCTTTATACATGTAACGACCTTTTTTATTGACACATTGGCTTGGCTGCTTGCGCGTCTCTGGTAGACAGCTCCGAGTCGGAGTCCAGTATTAGAATACAAGGATGAAAAGATGAGTACATATAAGTATACAGCTGGGCATAAGCGGGATTTTCGGTGACCTACACAAGAATGATATGCCAAGAAGCGTTGACGGCGGTGCTAGCAGTGGGATATTTTATGTAAGTGGCCAATTCAGACCTGACATAATGATGTTTCGCAAGTACTGCACGATGTCGGTGAGAGGCTATTACGGTAGACAGCCGAGGCCCAACACTAACAGACGATCAGACGACGGATAACGTGGTTGAGCGTATAGATTCGGCGGTACGGTAAGAGATAAGATATGAGTAACCGAGCGGTCACCGGTCAGGTCTATATACTGCGTCGTGCAAACACGGAACAATAATCAACGCTAACGGTGTCCAATCATCAGGCGCTCGTCACATGCGGTAAGCGTAGGCTTACAGTTGGTTGTTTGGATACAAGGCTTTTGCCAAACAAGCGCCTGCCAGTACTTACGTAACGGACCACGGTAACAAATTCATAACTTGTTGCCTTACCGTTTACCATCCACAGACAGACATCGGAAGCGACATGAAGAGGACAAAACAAAATAGGCTTTCTAATCACCGTGAAAAAAAAGTCGCTAAGAGCGCACAAAACCACGAGAATAACCAGACAGCCGAGTCCGGCACTGAAGAGAGCGTCCAGCTGCCACGAAAGAAAGTAAGATGGGAGAGCAATTCCGAATCAGTGGCAGCAGTAGTAGATACAGAGAATGGTAGCTCAGAGGACGATGCGAGCACATCAAAGGTGAAGTTTGCAAAGACGGTCGCGTCCCGCGGAGCTGACCATCTAGTTAGATCTGCTTGACAATTTCCTGCCAATCGTAAGTCGTCCAATGAGTATGTGTTACCAATGCATATAAGTGCGGTCACTCTAGAGGACGCGTTGCAGGCGCATACTATGATTCTGTTAGGTGTATAGTCTACGTGCTTGAAGATACGCAAGAGGATGTTCATTTCGATCTTACGAACATGCGTTGAGTCGAATCCTCTTCATAATTTTGCCCATCTGAACCTGTACCAGTTCTCGAACAGTGCAACGCTGACGTAGTGTTGACTAGCTCCAAAGCCGATGACCCATTTATATCGGTCCTTCAGAAATTTTGTATGCTCTCTACTGTCGCTGCATATATGCGCAGGTACTCAACTCAACGACTCAGCTGAGGCTTCTGGAGGGGTCTTTCAAATCAGACCACATAAAGAGTTCAGTCCTCACAGAGGGAGAGACCGCTTGCTGTCGCTCCGTTTTCTCTCCGAGTTGACAACCGAAGATACTGGTCAATGTTTGTCGTCCGACAGCAACGCAGGCGCTGAGCCAAGAAATGCATATGAATTTATGCAGAAACGCAAACAGGCAGCAGGCGACCCAACTATGAAAAGATGGAATGCGGCGATTAGGTTGGCCAACTATGCATCGGTGGAATCTTCTCTTTGTGTGCGTCTAGATACTCGGGTGCAATATTTGTCTCATCTGCGGAACTATAGATCTCGTGCCTCGGCGCTCTGCTCGACTACCTTGCGAGGGAGCGAGCGGCGGGCGACCTGGATGATGATGCAGGAGTCGAGGGGCTCAACATCTCCGGCATCGAAGTGTTGACCATGTAAGTTGGCATCGTGAACGCTCCGTATAGCATCGCGTTGACTCCTTTCAAAGAGATCAGGTCATGCATATCAATGCTGACGCACTTTTGTAAGCGATGTATTAAGGTGTTGCCTTGAGAGCACATTAATTGGCAAAGTACAGTTCCCTTCAGATATTCGAAAACGAGAGTCACGCGTCCATCCACTCTGATAAGACAAAAGAGGGGTTGTCGCTTTTTGGTATGTTGTGACAACTTTCGATGTTGTCGCGTTCATCAATATGCTACAGGTATCCTTGACAATACTCGGACACCCTTGGGTCGTTCATTGCTCCGCACCTGGCTCATGCGCCCGTCCCTGTCTATTCCTGTTATCGCAGCCCGCCATGACGCTATTGAATGCTTTCTACATCCGGAGAACTTAGCACCTGCGAGTACTTTGCAAATTCACTTGAAGGGTGTCAAGAATATTCCGAGGATCCTCGGGCTTCTGCAATCTGGGAAAGCCAGCGTCAGTGACTGGCAAGGCCTAGTGAAGGTATGATTCACCGGGTTCTCGTTTCAAATTCAATCCGACGTCAAACGAAGTTCACATATCACACTGCAATGATGCGCGACGCCCTGGCGGAACTTCACGGAGGTGATCAAGTACAGGTTGTACGAAAGGTATGATATTAGTGAGCGGCTCGCCAGGAGAAGCTGGACTAAACGGGCTGTTAGTTGGTTGCATCGTTGGACATCGCGAGCTTCAAGGATACCGGAAATGCTGTCAATGAGACAGTAAGCGCTTGTATCATTGTTTCTATCTACTAATGCACTCCTTCATTGTTTAGATTGACTGGGAAGAATCTACCAACAATAATCGCATATGTGTTAGGCCGTACATTGACGAGGAACTAGATCAGAGGAAACACGTTTACGCTGGATTGGACCCTGTCTTGGTGGGGTTATTCCTGTCTCAAAGATGCTGCATCTTGCTCATACATGTTATAGTGTAAGGTCGCTGAGCAAATATGCCAAAAGATTCCTGTGGATTATACGGCGTCTCTGAACGTGGTATACTTCCCACAGCTAGGTGATGCATTCTCGAACCTAGTAGAAGCGTATATTCAACGCTTTCCATCGGCAGGCTTTTTGATCTGCGTTCCGATGCAGGAGGAATGGAGGTCTGAGGAGGGCATCAAGGTTCTAGACGGATGGAGCTTCCAGGTGAGTCTTGACGTTGTCCTTGCCATATCTTATATAGCGGGCTGACCAAATCGTTCAGTTCTCCTCAGAGCGAGTGATAAGTCTTGTCAATGATTGACTTTGTGACTGAACGACGTCTTTTCAGTGCCCATGTGTATTTCAAATCGGAAGAGATGCATGGTAAGCTTGCCTTGAACCTTATTCCGAGAAAACGTGCGATTCAGATCAAAGATATGGACACCCACATCGGCGATCTCCATCCATCAATAGTCGGTGCGAGTTTTGATATTTCCTCATCAGTAAGAGACTTACGGGTAACAGACCGTGAAATAGAGATCGTCCAAGAGCTCTTGGAACGGATCCTTGTATGCAGTGAAGGGATGAGACACACATGTGACGTTTGTGCCGAACTGGACTGCCTGCTCGCCTTCGCCGAGGCTTCTCGGGCGTACAATTACTGTCGGCCTCAGATGTCAGAGGATCCTATCATCGACATTGATCAAGGACGGTGAGCGTTGCGGAATGCTACTCGTTACACTAGTAACCTTCTCTCGTAAGACATCCCTTACAAGAGCAGGTAGTCGACATTTTTGTTCCCAATAATGCTCAGCTTTTAGCTGGTATCGGTTTCGGTGACAGCGCTGAACCACAGACAGAAGCTGACAGCCTGTCAGTGTGTAGCAGCATTGTTTTGTGCACTGGCGCGAATGCGTGCGGAAAAGTAGGTTCAAGTTACACGTCACAATACCTGCTAAATTCCCTCTTACACAATGCAGAGCGTCTACCTGAAACAGGTAAAGATCTGATCAGTCTTATGCCAGGATGTATTGAAATAAATACAGGTTGCTCTGATTCAATACATGGCCCAGGTTGGTAACCGCTCTGAGTTATTGGTCCACTCGTAACTTATCAATGACAACCTAGATCGGCTGGTAAGGAACTCGTGGCTGCTTTCGTGCTTCATGACCCTGTGAAGTTTTGTTCCAGCGGTATCTGCCACTCTGGGAATTGTCGACAAAAGTGACGTTCTGGACTTTTTCGCCTTGTGCTAACTAACCTATCTTTGCAGTCTTTACTCGTATACAGACTCGCGAATCAGTATCCAAAGTATTATCGCAGTGTCCCTGATTCCCTCCTATGCTGAACTAGCTACAAGGCCCAATCCGCTTTTATGATTGATCTCAACCAGGTCTCCCTAGCCCTCCGAAATTGTACTGCAAAATCTCTCATTCTCCTTGACGAATTTGGGAAGGGGACGATCCCTGCAGGCTCGTTTGCTTCACGGTGCAAGCACAACTGTCGATTCTTACTTATCCATAGATGGGACTGGGTTGTTTTGCGGTGTCATCAAGCATCTTCTCAACCGAGGGTCTCAGTGTCCTAAGGTTTTAGCTGCCACACATTTCCATGAAGTCTTCCAGAAGGACATGCTCGATCCCCACAAGTTCCCAATCACATTCCTTCACATGGAAGTGCTCTTCACTTCAAGCAAAGGCAATCTCGATCCCGGTGACGTGTCGATGTCTGGAGACTCAAAATCAACTAATGACGAACGACTGGAGCCTACACATGTTGTCGCCCCTGGAGAAAAGATAACTTATCTTTATCGGTACCTTCTGGGTTTATACGATTATCGACATCCCTAACCAGTGGACCAGTGTCTCCCCGGGTCTCTCCCGCAATTCTCATGCAGCTCAATGTGCTATGATGTTTGGTTTGCCGTCCCGTATTGCGCAGCGTGCGCAGTACGTCAGGTAGTTTTCATTCCTCTTGCCCACCTCATGGAGAGATTATTCACTGGTACGTCAAGCAAATTGTTGGGTGACCATGAACTTGGGCAGCTTTTGGAGGAGAAAATGACCGCGGAGGAGCAAGAAAATATCAAGGCCGCTGGGATCGCCACCTACAAATTTCTGGCCATGGATCTCACGAACGATTCTCCTGAAAAAGACATCAAATCAAGGCTTGTAGAGGCGCTTGGCCGGGCTCCTCATGAATGATTATATTTTACCCATGCGCATGATACCATTGTAAGGATTGCTGTGACTCTAGAAAAATACAAGCAAGGTCTTCTCGCTCAATACTCAGGGAATAAGTATCTTCTTGTCCTAAAATTTGTCTTGAGTGAACCAGCGGATAGACCTTCGGCCCGCCGAGTCTGCTATTAAACTAAGTAAGTGATTTCTACTGCCTCCTTAATCGCCTCCCATCATGGCGCCCGTCACACAGATCATGTACTTCAAGACCTCTTCGTCCTACCTCCAGGATCCCTTGCGGTTGATGCATTGATGTCTGAGCTTGTGATCAATTCATCAATATCAAAAGACAGAAAACAAGAAACTGACGCACGAACGACTCGACTTTCGAAGGGGTTTGGTTTGGTATTGTCTTCTTCCCATGCCTCTACATCAGCCCGCCACAATGCTAATGTTGATGCATCGATTGCACCTTCAAGTTCTGCAAGTTCTTCACGGTGGGCTCGGGCGGTTGCAGCAGCCTCCTTGAGTTTGCGCAGTAAAGTCCGCCCTATTAAAAACACCTTGATGAAAATCAACAGAAGATAACGAGTCAACGCACCCAACAATATTATTTTTTTCCAGTTCCAATCACCGAAGTGATCATCAAGCGTGTCACGACGGTTGCCCGGGCCACATCCCATGTGTACGCATTTTTGTCCTCGCAGCCAGTTGCTAGTAGCTTTCCATCCGCAGAAAATGACACGCAGCGTACTGCACGTGGATGCTGCAGGGGCGAACTGATAGGTAGTCCATTGTCGAGGTTCCACAGTCGCGCTGTGTAGTCCAACGATGCGCTTGCGGGGATGCGGCCATTCGGTGATATTGCAATGGCATGGACAAGGGTAACGTGCTCATCCAGAACCGTGGTTAACTTTGCTATCCCATGTCCTAATCGAAGAGTCCCATGACCCGGAGATAAGCGTTTTTTCATCCTTGGTCCAAGCCAGGCAAGTCACTACGTCAGTGTGTCCTTTGAGACTCTGAGAGTTGCGACAAGCTTGCCTGTCTTTGCGTCCCAGATCTGGATGGAGGACTCCTTGGGTCGATATACGGTTCAGGGCACATTACATTCACCAGTCGCCACCAAGGTCGTGTCTGGTGAATAGACGACTGCCCACACGTGTTTGTACCCGGTTATGTGCGTATTATACTACTTCCGCGTTATGCACACACAAATCATTGTCAATCAATCAGTCCGGTGTCTTCAGATCATAATCGGGTGCACTAGCATATTCGATGTCGTAGAGTCAGATTTCCTATACGCAAACTCGAGTATCAAATGACAGACGCCCTTCCTCTCATTCTCTGGGATTACACCTACAACTCAGATGTCAGATGGCAAATGGATGACCATGATGGTATATACAGATATCGCCGACTCCATTCTATCCATTAACGCTAGACGAGCACTTCCTCACAGCCACCACACAATATCATTTTCCACCACCTCAATACTTTCCCTTTCAGTCATACAAGACTGACACCTCCCACTTACACTTCCCACCTCACACTTCCTTGTTCGAACTTGGGCCGAGAACAGGTCTTCAGTGTCTTACTCAGTGCAGGGACGTAGAAGCGCGGATCAAGACCCTCATATTCTCCCCTCCAACTGCGGTCGCTCCCATGTGTTCACGCCTCTGCTAAAATGAAGACACCGCTACGCTGAGTCCTCCTATTTTTGCACTGGAGAAGATAAAATAGGCCACGGAAATCGACAATATGCACCACCCAATACTGAGTCGCAGTCTACTTCTCCTAGTCTCATCTGCAGAGATTCACTTTGTCTCGCATTTATCGCAAGTTCAATGCAGACTTATGGAACTGAATTGTATACTCTTCCTGTTGAGTCTCCAGAAACCGACTATCGAAGAGCTCCTCGACGAGGATGTCCGTTGTGACATCCTGATGTACCTGAGTCCAATATCACCTTCAATTCAATGTCACCTATCGTGCCGGAACTTCTCGTGTTAGCCCCTACTCTTCGCATTGCCTCAATTTCATCCCCCGTTCGCTTGCTTTTGCCCAGTGTCCAGTTATTTTTTCACGCCCCACAGCTCACAACATCCTACACGCATCGTTTTCATAGTGCTCTCGTTCTCACTGCCTTCGTCGTGGATATCGCGATTACATGCTGTACAGTGAACACTTGCAATGAACTACATATTCCATCCTACCTCTCATCTCGGATTTTTAGCCCACTTTGAATGTACCCCACTTGAACGACCACGCGCACAGATGATCGCAACAACGGAGTCCATCTGTTCAGTTTCTCAGTCCCCTATAATGAAGCACCTATGTTATGCATCACTTCAACACAATCCACGGCGCACGCGCAACTGCATCTCTGATGGAATCGGCATGCCTGGTCCGTTGTTACGTGCTCTCACGAACTAGCAAGAACGTCATAAGTACTGCTACACAGTCAGCTCAAGTCGTTCACATAGACGACCTTCTCAGGTTAGACGCTGGGTATAGAATAGAATACGAAGTATGATCTACTGTACACTCGGTCACATGTAAATTGTATCTGAAATATTCATAATGGATGCATTGCTGCGATAATCGTTGGTACTAAGGTCTGCAAGTGTTTAATTTAGTAAGCGCGAGGAACAGAGAGGGCTTCGGAGAGACTCACTCCTCTCGGCACTTTTGCCAGTGTTGTCCATATGCCATGCAGCTCAAATCAAGGTCAGGACCTCTGGGTATCACTAATGCAGTCCCGGGGCTCCACAATGAATGTCGAGAAGCGGGTGGTACCCAAAATAACAGCTGACGTTCGGGTTCTATCACCCATCCACTGCCGCTATCCAGGACAAAGGGGGTCGAACTGCGGTCGTCATGGGATGCTCCCTCCATTAACTCAGAAGTGTCGCAGAGCGCGTGCATAGAGTTGGACGAGAAGCGAATGAAGTGATTGTTCAGAGTGTTCAATGACATGGTAGTGGTGGCCTCGATCGTGCGATGTTCATCTGAGAATGATGGATGATCTAACTCAGCGCACTGTTGCGATGGCTGCCCCATCACTGCATGCCACAGCCGAACAGTGTTATCCTCCGAACCAGTGACGATGCGAGTGCCGTCCGGCGAGAACGAGACCGACCAAACTGAATCAGTGTGCCCCCACAAGGGTTCACCGACTGGCTCCCCCGTCCCTGTATCCCACAGCCGAACAGTCTTATCCTCCGAACCAGTGACGATGCGAGTGCCGTCCGGTGAGAACGAGACCGAGCGAACTGATTCAGTGTGCCCCCGCAAGGGCTCACCGACTGGCTCCCCCGTCCCTGCATCCCACAGCCGAACAGTCTTATCGTCCGAACCAGTGACGATGCGAGTGCCGTCCGGCGAGAACGAGACCGAGTTAACTGAATCAGTGTGCCACAGCAAGGGCTCACCGAGTTGCTCCCCCGTCCCTGCATACCACAGCCGAACGGTCTTATCGTCCGAACCAGTGACGATGCGAGTGCCGTCCGACGAGAACGAGACCGAGTTAACTGAATCGGTGTGCCCCCGCAAGGGCTCACCGACTGGCTCCCCCGTCCCTGCATCCCACAGCCGAACAGTGTTATCCCAAGAACCAGTGACGATGCGAGAGCCATCCGGCGAGAACGAGACCGAGTTGACAAAATCAGTGTGCCCCCGCAAGGGCTCACCGACTGGCTCCCCCGTTCCTGCATACCACAGCCGAACAGTATTATCCTGCGAACCAGTGACGATGCGAGTGCCGTCCGGCGAGAATGAGACCGAGTTAACTGAAGAAGTGTGCCCCCACAAGGGCTCACCGACTTGCTCCCCCGTCCCTGCATCCCACAGCCGAATAGTGTTATCCTGCGAACCAGTGACGATGCGAGTGCCGTCCGGCGAGAATGAGACTGACCAAACTGAATCAATGTGCCCCCGCAAGGGCTCGCCGACTTGCTCCACCGTCCCTGCATCCCACAGCCGAACAGTGTTATCCTCCGAACCAGTGACGATGCGAGTGCCGTCCGGCGAGAACGAGACCGAGTTAACTGAAGAAGTATGCCCCCGCAAGGGTTCACCGACTAGCTTCCCCGTCCCTACATCCCACAGCCGAACAGTGTTATCCCAAGAACCAGTGACGATACGAGTGCCGTTCGGAGAGAACGAGACCGAGTGAACTGATTCAGTGTGCCCCCTGAGCACGGTCTGAACAGCCGGCCAGTTTATATCACGTCCAGATGCCACACGAAGAGTATTCGGAAACCGTGCAGAAAACTTTCTAGATAGCGGGGAGTTGGCAGGCGAGAATGAGAGTGCTGATATATACAGATGTGGTGTGCTGTGTAAAATCATGCCGCCGAAGACTTGAATGAACCTCTGTACGTCCATTGCAGTCGACGAGACATCTTTGAATTTGGGATGGCCCTGTGGTTGCGCATGAGCGCTGTATCTGACACTTAGTAGCATTGTGCTCACCTTCAGCCACTGGGCAATGGGCGGAAGGGCACCAACTGCAACGCTGAGCTCATTGGTGAGGGCAAGTGACTCCAGCCAGAAAAACACCTGTTCGTGGTCGAATAACATTTTCACTTCTTTCGCGAGTTCCTTGTCGAAGGTTGTGGTTCGTACGTGTGACATCCAAAAACGAGATGAATATGACAGATGTGGGGAGATGCATTTTTGAATTCGTTCTTGTAGACCGGGATCTTCGCTATTAGGTAGATACGACGACTTTAAAGCACAGATATTGAAGCGAAGACCGTGTTCCATCACTCGAAGCGACGCGAATGCAAGATCGCGTTGCGCCTTTGACAGATCGATGAAAAATTCTTTACTGGATTCTTTGTCAGTCAAGAAATCATGGAAGGACGCGTGGAGGGGTCGGATTTTGGAATCTGAGTTGGTGGTGCCGCTGAGGAGGGAGCCCATACTTTTTACCACAAGCTCCACGTCGAAATGGTCCTCTTCCTTTGGAAAATGGGACCTCATGACTTTGAGAGAAGCTAAAGGAAGGGGTTCAGCTATGCCTAGTATTTGTCCCATCACTGAGCGAAATCTCGCTAGCTTCTTCAAACGCAGTTTCGGCGGATCCGGAGATGTATCCCTGGGTATGATGTTTGTTAAGATGAGGTCATACATATTGTGCAACAGCTTGCTTCTCTCAGCAGGATTGCTTGACACCACCGTGACAACCTCGTAGTGATCCTTTGGAGATACCATACCGGACTCTTTGATGTATTCGCAGGCGAGACGCGCCCACTCGAAAAGTCCATCAGCTTTCTCAGCGAGGACTGCGAACTCTCTGTCCTGGAAATTCAGCCCTTCCAACTCCTTGGATACGTAAGCACGGATGTCGCGCTTTGCAAATTCTGGTGGAATACCATCCATCGACATCTGTCGAATATGCTGAACACCACGAAACTTGTCTTCGATATCATCAAGCGGGCGAGAGGTAACGATGAAGCGGAAGTTGCCAGGAAGGTCTGTAATTTTTGGAACGTCAGGGTTTGGATGTTTGCCAGCTAGAATACGGAGGAGGTCCATTCGTGTCTTTACTCCGCCGCTCTCGTCCAGTGCGTCGATCACGATCACGATGGGTCCCACAATCGACCCAGATGACTTCCCCAGTGGTTCGACAAGAAGGTTCTGCCACTGCTGGATGATATCCGCTGTATTCTTGAGCGAGTTCGCGATCTTAACTACATCTGCTAATGCCCGCCTCATCTCCGGATCACGATCAGCCAGGTCGCGCGCAATCGTGGAAAAGATCTGTTCATGGCGACCATCTACTCCTCGGTCAAAACAGTAACACGAACCAAGCCCTCCCACGTCTTTGAGCCACTTAGCAATGGTGTGGGCGATGGCCGATTTGCCCTTGCCCGCAGGGCCAGATAGCCACAGCACACGTGGAATGTTGTCCCCAGTGCTGTTGACCCATTCCGTGATCTGGGAAAGTATTTCCGTGCGCGTCCCTTGAAGGCACTCTTTTCTGGTATCTAGTCCCGCGCGATTTGCATAAGTCATACCGCTGAAGTCCGATGTTTCTTCTGAAAAGGCGTGAATATATGTGAATTCACAAGGACGTCCGAACCCTTACCCATACGATGGACGTGTATGGCTATGTTGTTAACGTGTGTGCTCATGTCGTGGACGCCTATAGCTACGTCGCGAGTACCCTGGTCCCGGAAGTTTTGCATGAGGCCGTCGAACACGTCATTGTACTTTTTGATCGTATCGTCCGTTTCTGAGAGGACTTCCTTTCCAAGTCTCTTCCCTGTGATGATGGTAGAAGCTCGAGACGGTACAGAGCGCAACAGCTTGTAACACTCACAAAAGTTGCTGATCTCCGAATAGTTCGTGATAAATTGAGCACATTCACGAGTCTGCTGAGAAATCTTTGCAAGGATAGCGTACATCGACAAAATTTGGTTAAGCTTCTCGTCTTGTGTCATGAAGTCGTAAATTTCAGATAACTTCTTGAGAAGTTTGAGTAACGCTGCATCGCGATCCGCTTGAGCTAGAATAATCTGTACAAATGATTGCTGAGCGGTGGGAGATAGGAAGAGATAAAGAGAAAATATACTTTGGCTGCAAAAGACAACACGCCCAGCGCCATCTTTGCATATGGATGTACCTGTGGAACTAAATTAGTTCGATTCTGATCGAGAGGGCCTGCATACATCCGCGATCTTTTCGATAACAGTGTCGAATATCCTGAGGGGTTTGAGATATGTGTCTTGGAAACTGTCAGCAGCATCGAGATCTTCTGGTGTGTCTTGAACAATAGAAACCACGGGTATCACAGCTCCCGAAAGTGGATGCATGCGTTTTGCAGCCTGTTGTGCATCTCGAAGCGCCAATTGGGTAGTATCACTGGCAGCCTCCACTTCCACACCAGACGGAACCGCCTGAACCTGCACAACCACCAGAATTTAGAGAGAGTACAGAGACTGGAGGACAAGTATGAGAACTTACCTCGAGATTCGGGGTCGATGAAGCACGTTCATGATTGACATTCGGGGGAACAGGGCTGAGGGTGCGGGAATCCTTCGAGCGCTTATGGCAATCTTAGTCGTATTCCAGGACACTCATTATACATGCTTGTGGACTCACCGAGATCCTTAACTTCTTAGCACCGTCCTTAACCTTCTTCAGAAGCCGACCGAGTTTTCCACGGGGTCGGTGCTAGACGAAGGATGTGTCAGTGTTTGGAATGGAGTGGACTGAGTGATCCTCATCAGTCACGTACCGGGCTTCCGCTAGCTGTTGCTTCGCTAGTTGTGTGAGTTGAATCCCTCCGAGTCGATGAGTTGCCTTTGCTCATTGTGAATAGCAGTTGAAGCGAAGAGAAGGGCCTTACATTATTTACATAATAGGCCATTCCAAAAGCGTAGCAGACAAAATTGAATGGCTTTCGAACTAAGTGAATACAAGTCGAAGTGCGCGGGCTTATCTTCGATCAATTAACTTGAAGGGGCATACATTGATTTCGAGACGGAAGATCCAAGAAATGCATTCTGAGTCTTTGGTAGGTCAAGTCTGCAACATGCCAGATTCAATGATATGATTGATATCGAACTACTAGTAGAGTGGGCTTTAAAGCCTATATACGACTATTATCGTCAGTCAGACTCTTTTAAGGCTGCAAACGTAGCTATAGCCTCTCGACAGGTCTTTGCGAGCAGACCTACTAGTACCTATGCGTTTGTCAACTTTTCACGACACTAGTCTAGTCCCTGTGACGGAATTTGTCACTGCCACCCTCAAAAGTAGAAGTTTGGTTCCTTGAAGCTTCAAGGAACCAAACTTCTACTATTATGGTACGCGCAATCGGCAGCCACCAGAAGTCGGCACTTTCACAAAACTCGTGTTTCCAGCTACCTAAACACAAAATTCTTTACATAGACATCATTCTCTCTCTAACACAACTCAATACGAGGTCAAACGAATACATTTGAAGCAGAATTGAATGAGATAGCTGAAAGTGCCGAAGTCACGCAGAAATGTCACCTGCCGATATATGCCGTGACGGAGTTTCAATACTGCACACACCAGTGCCTTGCCAGTGCCGACTGGTGCTGTGCTGCTGGTCATGGGGCTAGAGCAGCGTGAAAAGGATAAGGCCGACGCGGAGAAGCAGGCCAAAAAGAAGACAGAAGATGAAGCGCGCCACACTCAGATCGAACGCGATATCGAGTCGAAGACGTTTGATGCACTCTCAACACTCCGGCGCAAGGATGATCATTTTATCGCACTTGCTGGCGCTCTCAAGATTTCAAGAGACGGAACGGTTGAGGAACTCAGGACTAGACTCAAAGAGTTTCTTGCTGATGCCGCAAATCAGCACTTTGCCTACAATCCACGTTTTGCTGCGCTCTTCCAGACGGGAAAAAACGCGTTCGAAGAATAAGAATTTAGCCACTGCGTCATCGACAGGACAGGCTAGTAGTGGCGCCTCGCAAGACAATGACGCTACCTCATCCAACACTTCCGGTACTCATTTTTTCACCCCACCTGCCAGTGCACATTCTTTTAATCCATATTATCCTCCACACTTTACTAACCAGCCATATTTTCATCAATTCTATGCTAATCCAGCTCTCCGCGCACCATCTTACTCTACAACGCAACATAATAATTCATCCGGCGGTCCCATTGCGTCATCATCAAACTTGGACAGACAACCTCAGCATCCTTACAACACACACAGTCTCCCTACACATCCCCCTCAATTATACAACTACGGTACTAATCATGGTCACCCTCGTACTTAGATTCTACTAGTATATACTGTACTTGCTTGCTCACGCCGAATACTAACTCACTTCCTTGCGCTCCTGCTTGACTGCCGAGCTGACTTTGAAACTGGCTCAGTAACATGTCGTGACTTACTGTGACATTTGCGTGACTGCCGACTTCTGGGGGCTGCCGATTGCGCGTACCATAATAGTACGGCTCGAGCTGGGCGTCTGTCATTGATAAGCCCAACGTAGTTCACGGCATGAGAACGTGCAGGTGGTTCCACTGAGTGACGTATTTATCGGTCACAGGCACACCGGATGCTGAATGCTCACAAGGAGATCATTGATATTTTGCTTGCCCATGCCATGATGACGCGATATAATTACAATCATGTGTGAACTTGTCTGTCAACTCTGTAGTGGTTGTTGTGTAGGAAGGTACTTCAAAGTCTCCTGTCCTCCCCCTGACTAGTTCGATGCTCGAGCATCTACCTAGTCTCCCGTAGCCAGACGAAGCTTGAAGGAGGATGATAGTTGATCGTTTTCTCACTATTATTGCGGTTTAAAAACATGCCCAAGTTGAATCCAAAAAAAAGAGTCTCGAGCGAACAAGCGGGTCGAACGCGGCCCGCTTCTATATTGATACTTAAACTAAGTGACAGCCATTTCTACCCAGCCTCCTCTCAATCACCTCTCATCATGGCGCCCGTCACACAAATTATGTACTTTAAGACCTCTTCGTCCTACCTCCAGGATCCCGCTCGGTTGATTTCTGAGCTTGCGACCACAAGTTCAGCAGACAAAATTGAAGGGCTTTCTAAGTGAATCACTAATGTCATCCTCGGAGCATGCTAGCTTATCGTCGATTAAGGGCATACCTTGGTTTCGAGACCGAGGATCCAAGCAATGCATTCTGGGTCTTCGGTAAGTCAAGTTTGCGACACACTACGCCCAATTGCGTTGAACTACTTGCAGAGTGGTCTTCCAAGTCTGCGCATGACACATATCATCAGACAGACACTTTCAAGGCTACACAAGCAGCTGCTCGACAAGTCTTTGCGAGCAGACCTACCCATACATTTGCCGAATTCTCCGACGCTAGTCAGATCTTTTCTGCTCCAGTGACGGAATTTGTCACTTTCACTCTCAAGAGGGGTGTCAGCATGGACGCGCTTCAGCCCCTTGTCGAACAGCTTCAGGCCAAGCTTCAAGGAACACCCAAGTTCTACGGCTCGAGCTGGGCGCCTGTCGTTGATAAGCCTAACGTAGTTCACGGCGTGTTAGGATGGGAAAGTGTGCAGGTAATTCTAACATAAGTTCGTCCGATTCACCTGCTTATCAGTCACAGGCACACTGGGACGCTGTAACCTCAGGTCCCCTCAAAGACATCATTGATGAAGTGAAGAAGATTGCTGACCTTTGGCTTGTCCACGCCATACTGACGCGATACACTGTGTGAACTTGATTATCGAACGCTCTGTACGAACCACACTTTGTCGTTGTTTTGTAGGAAGGTATTTTGAAGTCATGAAACATGTGCTGGATATTTCCGAGGAACATCGACAGGTGGAAGTTCCTCTGTTTTCGACAAGCAGTGTTTCACAAGTTAGCCGTATGCCGGCCTCCCACCGTGGGTGCACTCACCACTATCGTGTGCAGTAGCGGTCAGTGGTAAACTGACGCTGACACTGGCTGTTGAAGTCCGCCAGCACAGCCTCCCGTGCTCCCGATAAGCTCATGCTACTATCCCTCTATGTATGGAGGCAACCGTAGCTTGAGCACGACACTCAACCACATGCACAGAGATAGCAACCTCGTCCAACAGGTGTGCGACGTTCAGAAAATAGCAACCGGCTCTTACGAAGGCCCTCTGTCGGAGTGTATCTCAGGCGTGACAGTGAGATAGAAGAACACACCAGCATTTTCTACGGCCTTGAAGACAACACACCCGAGTCTCAGCTCAATGGTGATGATGATACGGACATCTCTCAGCGCACTTATCGCCGACGATGCTCTGGGCAGGGGACATCAGCTCAGCTAATGTCCTGGCTGTGGGCGCCAGTTGATTCTGCAAAGTATTGTGTCGTTGATGTACAGAGAGGTGATTTGCATGGGCTGGTGGCTGCGAAGATCACGAGAATATATGAGCACAAGTAGAGTAGGAGCCCGTAGAATATTTTTTTCAAAGATTGATTTCGTGACATACTTTCGACTAGACTAGCAACCAACCCCTGTGACGCGTCACTGGTGGGTGAGAGTGATGACCAGTCATGGATGAAATTTGAAGGGAAGTCAGCCATGTTAGGGGCGTGACATCGCGCAGTAACACAGTGGTATCAGAAACAAACAGGCAGTGCGCCGTGGTGGCAATATGCCGTCAATAACAAACGGATGAAACGGAAGATGGATCATGGATCAAGGGGCAGTCAGCCATGTTGAGGACGTGACCTTTGCGACAAGCGCACCATACAGCAACACATCGAACATACCACGGACAGTCAGCCATGTCGAAGACTTGACCATAGGCCGCCCAGAAAGAGTCAAACTAAAGATCACCTGCCTCGGCCCTCAAGCAATCATGTCGCGATCACCGTAGCGGATGTTCTGTTTCTTCGTGGCTGCCCTTGGCATCGAGCGAAGACAGGTTCAAGTAAGACGAGCACGGCAAGAGTTGCATGCGATGCAGGATGATCTGGTAGTTGTGCGAACCATACTTGTCGAAAGCATGACGGGTAGTAGAACGCACTCGTCTCAGTAATAGCGTCCGAGGCGGCACCTGGGACCCATTAAGGGAACTAATTTCCACCAAAAAAATTACAGACCTCATGTCTACAGAACCAAGCCAGATCTCACCACTACTTAAAGTGGGTGCGTCTCTATTACACAATATTCACTTATCGATACACGTTTTCCTTTCACTCTCCGTATTAACTCGTTCTCAGATCAGAATTATGATTCGGGTCCATCTCGCTAAAATCAAAGCGGCCCTAGAAGCCTTGATGAAACGGTACGTATACTTATGGCTATGATACCTTCCTGCTTATTAGCTAAACTATTTGTCAAAGGCAGAATATTCTTCCGATGCTGGGCCCACTGGGCCACAGAACGCAGACGTTCTGATTCAATGTACTACTGTGGGCACGCTCGCCTCTGATCAGAACATTGTTGCGTGTGCGATCAATTAATGTCCATGTATCCATTTTCATCCATACCGCCGGGTAAGCCGTCCGCATGGGACGGCGCTTTGATCAGCGTTCTCCCTTGATTCGTGCATATTACGGTAATATTATTTGCCTCGTGGAACATATGTAGGTGTGGGTGTAGCGCTCGTTGTGCTACACAGTCTAACTATTGATAAGGCTTTTGGTTCGTTTCCATCTCCGACTGCATCATGGAGATGTTCATCCCCTCTGTGCTATTGGCCATCGAGAGCCTATTGAAGGGCCTAGCTTGGTTGAAACGGAAAGCAATCTTCATATATTTTGGCAGGGAAGAGTCCCCGCCACCGCCGATATCATCCTCGGCTTTATGTTCACCAACTGATTCACCATACGAAAGTGCTCACTCGCAGCATCAAAGGTCATATGAACGCACCTACTCACAGCAGCAAGGATCAACTTATCACCTGTACCCGCCACCGCCACCGCATCCAGCAACCAAATACTCTCAATCCCCATCCGCCCATCAATCACCTTCGCAGCAGCAAGGATCAACTTATCACCTGTACCCGCCACCACCATCGCATCCAGCGACCAAACACTCTCAATCCCCTTCCGCCCATCAATCACCTTTGCAGCAGCAAGGATCAACTTATCACCTGTACCCGCCACCACCACCGCATCCAGCGACCAAATACTCTCAATCCCCTTCTGACCATCAATCACCTTCGCAGCAGCAAGGATCAACTTATCACCTGTACCCGCCGCCGCATCCAGCGACCAAGTACTCTCAATCCCCTTCCACCCACCAATCACCTTTGCAGCACACATCCTATCAGCCTCATCGCCAACCGAGCGTACGATTCCCTGCACTGCCCACACACCCCGTATCTCCTGATGTTGTTCCGGTGACCGAGCCTGTCCGATGTCACATCCCTCAGGTCTGTCTTAGCATGATCCATCTGGTAGTGCTGTCTACTTACCTCTTCGAAATATTCACAACCCCCTTCCGCCCAACAATCACCCACATAATACATACCCTATCAGCCTCATCGCCAACAGACTGTACAATTTCCTGCACAACTCTCACCCCCCGTATCTCCTAATGTTGCTGCGGTAACCGAGCCTGTCCGAAGTGACATCCCTCAGGTCTGTCTTAGCATGATCCATCTGGCAGTGCTGTCCACTTACCTCTTCGAAATACTCCCAACCTCCTTCCGCCCATCAATCTCCTTCACACCACACGCCCTTTCAGCCTTATCGCCAACAGAGCGTACAATTTCCTGCACAACTCACACACCCCGTATTTCCTGATGTTGTTGCGGTGACCGAGCCTGTCCGAAGTGACACCCCCCAGGTCTGTCTTAGCATTATCCATCTGGCAGTGCTGTATGCTTACCTCTTCGAAATCCTCACAACCCCTTCTGCCTATCAATCTGCTTCACAGTACGCAACCTTTCAGCATTATCGCCAGCAGAGCGTACAAATTCCTGCACAACTCACACACCCCGTATCTCCTGGTGTTGCTGCGGTGACTGAGCCTGTCCGAAGTGACATCCCCGAGGTCTGTCTTAGCATAATCCATCTGGCAGCGCTATCTATTCATCTCTCCGACACAGCAATCACGTCATATTTCTGGACCTGAATTAGTTGCAAGAGCACCAGAGGTTGTTGTGACGCCCATTGTGATTGACCCCTACGAAGATGCCGGTTCCCTTCGTCTCAAAGCCAGAATTGAAGGGAGTCGCATGGAAGAATGTTTCAAGCAGAGCCGCGAAGCGTTCGCTCGTAACGAGCGAGGGCTCGCTAAACAGCTTTCCCTGAGGGGTGAGGCGTGCAAAGCCAACATGGTGCGCTTAGATAAGGAAGCCAGCACGAAGATATTTCAAGGTATGAGACTGATGGACGGAGTGTGTAGGATTCGCCAACTTACCTCCAGCCTCATCTAGAGCATAATCAAGTTTGTTGTTGTTCTTATGAAACGCGCTGCTGTCCGACGCTTTTCCCAGAGACACAGGTCGAACACGATTGATCTCCACGGACTCTTTGTCTCAGAAGCCAAGGTGTACTTTGACGACGCTGTTCAAGGGGTTCGGGACCGTGGAGAATCGTTACTTCATGTGATCGTAGGTAAGACACCATCCATCGCACACTTAACTCCAGAAACAGGTTTCTCATTGATTGCAAAACCGCTCAGGAAAGGGGAATCACTCCGAAAATAACATCGCCAAGATCAAACCTGCAATCCAAGAATATGGGCAAAGGTATGTGCATCGCGAATATACCCCAATAAGTTGGTTCTCATCGTAGATGTCATGCAGTTTGGGTCTGGGCGTTGAAGTGGATCCTCTCAATAATGGCTGCCTTGTAGTGAGTCTTAGTCCCAGCTAACTTGAACGGCAATATTTCCGTTCCCCGTGTACCCACACACGTACGTGCTTTTTTGTGTGCTATACTTCCTCTTTTCATATTCGAGTGTGTACGATACTATGGGTGTTTTGGTGTAGTGTATAACGATGTAGTGGGTTGTAAGTACGGTAGTAGTGTGACTAGTCTCAATTTACTGATTCGTCCGGATCGGAACGGGACTAGGAGAGACTAATATATTAAAGGTTCGGCCACATCTTGTACAAATTCCTGTACGTACAAAAGAAAAGGAACCGCCTGTTGGTTCACTCCCCAAGGCAGACACGCTGGCTGGCCAGCACATATCATCCAATCTTCCGACGCCTACTCCGCACTGATGCAGCGAGTGCCCATTTTTCGTTCTCGAGCGTGCACCCTCTATATTTCACTGCAAAGCTTTCGTTCGTACGCGTCCAAAAGTGCCAATCCCTATCCTTATCCAACACAAACGAACCCTCAACCACACCAGATTTTTCATTTACCGCGAAGTGCAAACCAGGAGGATGTGAAACGGAGATGCACGTATCATCTTATACCACTGCCCTTGTACGACCTAACACAAAGCAGATTATGAACTTGTCCGAATTTACCACCCGGACTCGGCTGTCGCTCGTCATTATCCCTCCGAGGAGTCGCAGGCACGATTTCAAGCTATTTCTAGAGCGTACGACATACTTCGAGGAAAAGCATCTTCTTCTGGCGAACCGGTCGAAGCTACTCACAAAGTAGATCCGATACGATGGTCAGCTAGGTCGCGTCGTCCTCATTTCGACGATACAGCAAGTGATGAGCGGTGGAAGGAGAGAGTGATCATGGGTATTGTGTTGCTGGTAAGTGTTCTTACGACGGTTCTTACCCGAACTGATTCACGACGACCCATCATCAATTTTTTCTAGACTCTAGCAGCATTTGTCGCACAGAATAGTTGGACTCGCCAGCAGGCTATTGCAGAATTGTCAAGTCATAGACGGCCATCCCATCAAAGTAAAAAGTCAGGGAATGGCGATGGCGCTCTTGCTGCAGACCATGAAGATTGATGACTAAAAGGCGGCCTTAAATGCAGCCAGGGAGGTCACGGTCTTCGCGGCAGGCATTGACTATCGCACTATCCTCCGTTTCACCACTCTGATTAATGGCCATTGTCACGGTGTACGACGAGTGCCTCCTGCGCACATGTACTTATTGGTTGTCGACAGTCTATGCGTCGTGCCCAGTTGTACGATTTCAACCAGTCTGCCAACCCCGTTCAAACGTACAAAGACAGGGAAGGGTAGTACATTTGTTCCTTGGTATCTACTACGTACGCCAATCTTTTAATTAGGGTTGAGCAGATTGTCGGATGCCATAGGAACGAGGACAAATTGCAGGTCGCATAGAGGTCCTCGAAAAACATCTCAACCCTTGCGTGTCGATCGACCATAACGCACTGAACTTTCCAACATGGGCTCCTAGATCTAAACGACGTAAGTCTTGAATTCGTTTTACAACAGGTTTTATGACATCAATACCTATCATGACTATGTAGTATACAGTACTGTATACTTCTAGTTTATTACCATATTCCGTTGGTAATATTGCGTGCTCATCACAAGCCAACTGCACCAAGTACCCCCACACCACCTCGCAACAACATACGGAATGCTCCCATATCAAGAACGACCTGTCCCTTGTACATTTCACTACGCCGATTTTGTCTCTGCGGGATCCCGATTGTAGACGTCTTCGTAACACGAGGTCAAAGTGTGTGCTTTTCCGAGGATGATCATACATTGCTTCTTCAAATGCTGGAATGCAATGTACCATCAGCGGGAGAAGGCACTGCCTCATCTAACACCTCCACTAACGTAGGAGTCGGGGACAAACAACGGAAACTGTAAAGACGCGGTGCTCTGCTGTCCTGGGGGATATCGTACAAGATAAGGGAAATAGGTATAGTAAGAATAGCCGAGAGAGTCTGATTTTTGATGTTGGGGTTTTCTAGCTTGCGCTTGTGTCACTGGCTGGTTAATTAGCAACGCAACCAAGGCCGTATGCTGCCGTATGATGCGTGACGGTCACGGTTGTCTCCATACACAAAGGGATACTAGTATTGTTGTTGTCATGACTCATTGCTCTGTCCTGGAGCTCCACATAAATGATTGCGTTCTACCCATGTGTATGGTATCACTGTAAGGATTTCTGTGACTCAATAAAATACAAGGGAAGCCTTCTAAGTCGAGTCTTGGGGAAGCTCGGTGTCTTATCAAACGACAGCACTGGTCTCTTTGTGTATCTCTATACCAGGGGGTGCACCCAAAGCTATTGTGAAAGGTTAAAGAGTGGAATGTGAACCCTCCTTGATGCTTGCCTTCTTTTATTGCGCCATACAGTATGAACTGCCCAGACACAAGGCCCGCGGTCATGATCATCCTAGGTCCGAGACCAGCGAAAAGGCCGCGGAAACCAGCCTCACGAGCGAGTACTGCGAGTCGATGCGGCATGGAGCCCTTTGGTCCGTGTCCCTTGTTTATCTGACTCAGTAGGGTATCCGCTGGCTGCACGCCATCGTTCCAGACGTCAGATAATCTGGGTGAAGATACTTCCGAGTCGAGGCAGGTACTCACATGACTTAGAATGGCTGCTGCGAAACCTGCGATAATGCCGCTACCGAGCTGTATTGTGAATTTGCTGGTACCGGAAAGTGTGCGACGGGTCTCTTCGGACATTGATCGAAAAGCTATCTCGTGACAGAATTCATTCACCGTAAATTGCCCGATAGCGTAGGGTATCTGTCTGGACAGGACATTATTTATGTGAGATTTGTCAGTCATCATAGGCTCACTTGCAGAGAATCGGGACAAAGCCTGCGTAAAGCTCACGCATGCCACCTTCACGCGCCAGACGAGTGAAGCCTGTGACAAGTCCAGTTGCGTAAGTTCTGTCTGACACGAGACGGATCCGGGTGGCTTCTAAAGGTGTCAGGAAGATATCTGCAAAAAACCTAGGATGGAATGTAGGAAAATTAGAAGATTGTCAGTATATCACGACATACTCAGCAATACTGGCTGATCCAAGGTAGATTGCCGTTCGATACTTCACTGCCGCCTCCGGGTCACCTACAGACTCGACCGCTTTTTTCTTCCAGTACTCGTAACCAGCGAATTTTGCGCCTCCTTGTATAAGATAACCGAGTGCAGTTGGGCCGAAACCTGTGAGGAGAGCTCTGGGACCTTCTGTCGCGATAACATAACGCGTTCCGGTCAACATGTTCAGCTTCTTGTATGCGGGATCAATTTGAATTCGCGTCTTTACGACGTCGATAGCTGCACAAGTGAACGACGGGTCAAAAGATAAGCACAAAAGAAAACTAGACTAAAAACAATGCGCCTCACGCGTCATTGCACCGTGGGTGATCCTTCATCTGTATTAATGTGTGGTCTTTGTAGAATCGTTGGGGAGACTTACGTGGCGCATAATGCTCCTGACATGGATGTTTTCAGAATTGTGTATTAGTAGGAGATATAGTCCTTATCAGACACACCTGCGAGGAAGAAGGAAGAGTAATCTTTTGAGGTGAACTGGGGGATTGCGGTGGCCTGACGGGGTTTCATTGCTTTGCTCGTCATCATGCAGTGTCTAAGGAGGAGCAGGTAAGTAGTACTGGCCGCGTTTTATACTGCACAACCGCTCGGTGCAAGTCATACTCCCCGGTAACTGCGATGATGACGTCAACCATTTAGTAATTATAGTACCCTCGGTGTCTTCTTGTTCTCCGAGTCCGTGAATCGTGTCCTCCCTCTCGATCTCGCAATAGCTTAATTCTCGAGCACATTTCCCAAGCCTCCCGTAGCCAGACCTTGAAGAAGGAAGACAGTCGATCGTTCTCCTCACCATTATTGCGGTTTTAAAAACATGTTCAAGTTGGCTCTGTTGAATCCAAAAAAGTGTCTCGGGCCGAACTTGGCTCGCTTTTATCAAAACTAAGTGATAGTGATTTCTACCCAGCCTCCTCTCTAGATCTCATCATGGCGCCCGTCACACAGATCATGTACTTCAAGACCTCTTCATCCTACCACCAGAATCCCGCTCGGTTGATTTCTGAGCTTGCGATCAAAAGTTCAGCAGCCAAAATTAAAGGGCTGTCTAAGTGAATCACTAATGTCATCCTCGAAGCATGCTAGCTTATCGTTGATCGATTAAGGGCATACCTTGGTTTCGGAACCGAGGATCCAAGCAATGCATTCTGGGTCTTCGGTAAGTCAAGTTTGCGACATACAGTGATCCCACGGTCCTTTGTACACTACTACTCCACTGTACAATTTGATTTTCTCATTGCATTCTTTGTCGACTCCCTGCAAATCATATATCATCATGTTCAGAATACATCCTGCTATGCGATGGTACCAAAATTACAGTGCCCAAATTTATAAATCCATCCGAAGCTGCAAATTATACCTCTAGGGCAATATATTTGAATTTCTCGAGCATCAAAACCTCACCACTGCACTAAGTTTCACCCGTTCTACTTTATGTATGAACATTACAGATGGATTAGAAGCAGTGGAGATGATTTTAGTCAAAGTTTCATTGGTGAAACACGTTGTGATCCACGAGTAACTTCATTATACAGACTAAGCTTGGACACGAAGTGCCTTTTTGACTCAGTCTCACTCAACATCTCCCTTTTGCTGCCAGTATTCAACATATATCTTCAAAACACGCATATATTCTCTTAATATGGTTGGGAGGCCAAAATCATTGACGAAGAAGGCACAGGTCTTGCGTGAGGAGAAAGAAAAAGTCATGGCTCGTGCTGTGGCTATGTACCAAGCTGAACTCGCAAAACCAAGCTCAGAGAAGAAGCAGGGCCTTCGAAAGGTGTGCAGGGATGTTCAGAAGGCATACCTCAAGGAAACGGGCCAAGTTGTCAGTTTAAATCATAATACTCTGGCAAATCTCGCCAAGGGAGGGGTTCGGCTTAGCGAATTCAATAGCTCCACGAAAAGCTGGCTCACACCCACAGAAACAGACAAAGTTATCGAATATGTTGTGGAAATGGCTCGACGTGGCTTTCCACTTAGCCACAAGCATCTCAAGGAGCATGTTGATGAAATCTGTCGAGCCCGACTTGGAGATGCCTTCCCGCAGTCTGGAGTGGGAAAAAACTGGACTCAGTGCTTCGTCGAGAAGCACTCTGATCACCTACGAGCTTACCGAGCACATTCACTTGATACTGCTCGTGGCCGTGCCGTGAACCCGACAACTAACAAGGCATGGTTCGAAATGTTGAAGGATGTCCTGGAGAGTGGTGACGACAACAAACCAATGGCACCAGAGTGTATTTGGGGGTGTCGATGAGACTGGAATTCAACCAGGAGGAGGAAGCACCCAAGAACGAGCACTTGGTAGTGCTGGAACGCAGGTTCAGTATCAGCAGCGAAACGGCAATCGTGAAAACATTACTGTGTTAGTCACAATTTGCGCAGATGGAAGTACAATTGCACCTGCGGTGATTTTCAAGGGAAAGGCATATCAGTCCAAGTGGAACGAAAATAATCCACTCAAAGCATCGTGAGTTGGCATGCATTATGTTGTGCTCTTAATCACTCATATAACACTGTTCTTTATAGTATTGGTTATTCAAAGAAGGGTTGGACTGACGGCGAGATTGGTGCACTCTGGATCAAACAATTCGATGAGCAGACATGTGACAAAGCTAATGGTCATACTCGCCTACTTCTCGTTGATGGGCACAATTCTCACTACACTTGCGCATTCCTGGAGTATGCTCGGCAGCACCGAATTCACGTCCTCTGCTATCCTGCACACAGTACCCACATCTACCAGGGCCTAGATGTGGCAGTATTTGGTGTCCTTAAGCAGTGTTGGTCAGAAGAACGAGACAAATGGGAGCGCGAGAAAGGAGAGAAAGTGACGAAAAGCAACTTCCTTGCAATCTATGGTGCTGCCCACATTCGTGCACTCACATCAGAAACCATTAAATCTGCATTCCGAAAAACCAGTGTATGGCCTTTCAATCCTAAAGTCGTCACAGATGAGATGTTAGCTCCTGCTCGCGAATCATCTAACCAGGGCCACCTTCCAATCACTCCTGAATCTCCTGTTCGAGCCATAATACAGCTGCTCAGAGACCTGCAACCAAGGGCGGAAACTCGTAATTGTGATATTCAACTTGGTACAATTGCTGAAGAAGATGGTAGTATTAACGACGAGACAACTCCAGGTAATCCTCACTGTTTGCATTTCAAAGATCAGATCAATAATTTATCAAACAGCAGACGAGAATACTTACGAGAACGCTAGTCCTTTTCAGACTGGTGATAGAACCATTCCAAATGTCTTCACACGACTCGAGGAAACATCTGCACGATTCCTTATATCATCATCTCCCATCAAATCAAGTTCAAGGTTGCCTACCATGCCACTAGCAATAGTCCTCACCCATTAAATGTGCGAGATTTCACTGTAACATATCTTCAAAGTCAACACGGGAGAAAAAAACTCGAGGAGACAGTCAAAAAACTCACCAAGCAGGTCACAACGCTCAAAGAGCATGTAAGCGCCCTTCAAGCGACTGTAATTCTCCAGGGACGCTACTGTGATCGAGTTCGCCGTCATCTCGAGACACAAGAGAAGAAAGGCTGCCGAGAGGGTGACAATGTCAAGTTGAATGGAGATGGTATGCCAAGGCTACTTACCAGTGACGAGGTCTTCGAGCAAGTCCTGGTATACCAGGAGCGTCAACAGGCAAAAGCGGCCGAGAAGGAAACAAGGAAAGCAGCACGGATGGTACGAACTCGAGAGATGGAGTTGTGGATGCAAGAGGATGAGGCAAGAAAAAACCAAAACAAAGCCAAAACAGAGCAGTGGAAGGTAGCTGTTAAAGAGTGGGAGGTAGAACAACGGCTAGCAAAGCAAGAGAAACGAAAACCACAGTGGAAGAAGCCTGTCCGAGGACCACTCGAGAAGCCTTGTCCTAAGCCAAAGAATCCAAGGAGAAATGGTGGAAATATTGATGAGGAGGATGGGCAAGATCAAGGAGAGTTCATTGACATTCACGAAGGGTCGATTTGCGATGACAGCGAGTATGAGGATGACGACGAGTACGACGAGCGGTGAAATGTGACATTTGTCACACGCTGTAACATGGTTGTCACATCAACTGTACAAACGAATCAGGAAGGCGAGAAAATGACTCGTTCAACCAAGTGAGGTGCTGCCAACTAAGCAGGGCCCCAGATGTTTTAAAAACTTGGTATATAGTAGATCAAACCCTGCTCTGTCAGATGTACCAGATCAATTTTTGTATATTAAAGATTTCATTTTTTTACACTCGTTTTTTTCATTTCACCGTCCAAAGGAGCGGTTGATCACTGTACTAAGTCCAATCGCGTTGAACTACTGGCAGAGTGGACTTCCAAATCTGCACATGACACATATCACCAGACAGACACTTTCAAGGCTACACAAGCAGCTGCTCGACAAGTCTTTGCGAGTAGACCTATCCAGACATTTGCCGGATTCTCCAACACTAGTCGGATTTTTTCTGCTCCAGTGACAGAATTTGTCACTTTCTCTCTCAAGAGGGGTGTCAGCATGAACGCGTTTCAGCCCCTCATCAAACGGCTTCAGGCCAAGCTTCAAGGATCGCCCAAGTTCTACGGTTCGAGCTGGGCGCCTGTCATTGATAAGCCTAACGTAGTTCAAGGCGTGTTAGGATGGGAGAGTGTGCAGGTAATTCTGACATTGGTTCCTCCGGTTCACCTGCCCATTGGTCATAGGCACACTGGAATGCTGTTAGCTCAGGTCCGCTTAAGGAGATCATCGATGAAGTGAAGAAGGTTGCTGACCTTTGGCTTGTCCACGCCGTACTGACGCAATACAAAGTGCCAACTTGATGATGTACGAAACTTTGTTGTTGTTGTAATGGGAAGGTATTCTGAAGTCACGAAATTTGTACAGTCTTGGTCCTTGGATATCCCCGAGGGTTCCTCTGTTTTCGATATGCACTAGCAAAAAGTTAGCCGTGTGCCTGCAGTAACGGCCACTCGTGTCACTACCTTGAATATTTAAAGTCCTGTATTATTAGTTGTTTGGTTGATTACTTTGCTCGGCAAGGCTTCTTTCACCTAATGGATCATCGATGTCATTCATCAATCATGAATTTTCGGTTATCTTTCTAAATTCTATGCGACGTCAACCGCAGTACTAGTGTCTCAGATTTATTATGCATGTTGCTTATACCGTCTCCAGTGTCCACGTAGCATGTATGGCACAAGTGACTTATAAGTCGTGAGACTTGCAAACATCGCAAGTTGCAACTGGAACACACTGGCATCGATTCCCCCATATCGGACCGTGACACCCTCCAAGCACACCATCGGGTGATGTTTTTGAGCTTGACTCCTCGCTGTCCAAGACACACGCGCAGTCGTGAGCGCACAGCGGTCTCGCCGACTCCCGTGTTAGGGTCCCCCACCAAAACACGTTGAACAAAAGCCGAAGCCACAGATTTCGATGTCCGAGACAAGAATGACGACGAGATAATATGTATGTTGCCCCCCTTCACTGTTTCATTCGTAGACTCACTTGGCCCTTCGGCAGCGGCCAAGGCTAGATGGAATTTGCTGCTTATGACCACTTCACCACCTTAAACATCGCTTGAAAGGTGATGGCAGTGCTGATTATCCCGAGTTCGTTTTTATATGCCGCACTGATCCTGTTAGCCTTAAGCTCCATCACTGCAAGCGGATGCAGACTATACAAGGAACGAAAAATATTAATCGATTCAGAGGCATAAAAGAGTGCATCGAGCGCCATGGTGTCTCAATGTCAGGGGCCTGATGCCACAGGCACACAATAAACTATCCGCTCGATCAGTTTCGAAATATACAGCGGAGGAAGTTATCGTGCATTGATAGCGATGTGATACGCGGTCAATAAACGCCCATTCCACTTGGTCGCTGATCATCTCTACTATGTCGAAGAGGTAAAACTCTTACGCCCTAATGTTGAGGTGCCTTCTCCGCGCAGTCTCACGCGACATCTAAAAATGTCAAACTTCACTTTTCGGTGAGAAGTATTGTGAGGCTCGCACTATCACTAGTCGCTGCTGATCTCGTTGTAGAAACATCTTAGTTCAGTCCACCTTGTCATCGACAGATGATTAGCTTGCTTACTCGTACTTTGGCATTGTCATCGTCTGGTATCAATCGACTTTGATTGATTAGTTTGAACGTATTTCCGTACCTATATTCTCGTTTCAACTGTTCTGCACATTATACACTTGGCCACCAGCAGGTGACACGTATCACCTGCCACGGATTGACCCACGAGTTGATCCGCACCTGCGGTGTTCTGACCCGGGTGGGTACGGGTAGACCTCTAATATTTTGGTACTTGCGGGTTGGGTGCGATAACTGCGGTTTATAATTCGGGTCGACAAATGTCATACCAGGTTTATACCCTACTCTCATCATGGCGCCCGTCACAAAGATCATGTACTTTAAGACCACTGCGTCCTACCTCCAGGATCCCTCGCGGTTGATTGCTGAGCTTACGACCGCAAGTTCAGCAGACATAGCGCCAATTGAAGGGCTTTCTAAAGTGAATCCTGAAGTCATCTCCGAAGCATGCTAGCTTATCGTTGATCGATTAAGGGCATACATTGGTTTCGAGACTGAAGATCCAAGCAATGCATTCTGGGTCTTCGGTAGGTCAAGTTTGCGACATACTAGTTCAAATCGGTGTTGAACTACTGGCAGAGTGGGTCTCCATGGATGCCGCATTCCACATATCGTCAGACAAGACACTTTCAAGGCTACACAAGCAATTTCTCAACAAATTTTTGCGAGCACACCTACCAGTGTGTTTGTCAACTTTTCCGACACTAGTCGGATATTTTCCGCTCCAGTGACAGAATTTGTCACTTTCACTCTCAAAGAGGGTGTCAGTATGGACGCGCTTCAGCCCCTCGTCGCACAGCTTGAGGAAAAACTTCAAGGAACACCCAAGTTCTACGGCTCAAGCTGGGCGTCTGTCAATGATAAGCCCAACGTAGTTTACGGCGTGTTAGGATGGGAGAGTGTGCAGGTAATTCTAACACTAGTTCCTCCGATTCACCTACTTATCACAGTCACAGGCACACTGGGATGCTGTAACCTCAGGTCCCCTCAAAGACATCATCGATGAAGTGAAGAAGATTGCTGACCTTTGGCTTGTCCACGCCATACTGACGCAATCCAATGCGTGAACTTGATGATCGTAGTACGAACCAAATTTTGTGTTGTTATATAGGAAGTTGTCAAATATGTACAGTCTTGGATATCCCCGAGGAACATTCTAGCAAACGTTGCTCTGTTTTGATATGCAGTGTTTTGCAAGTTACCCGTGTGCCCATAACCCACCCTTCACTTCACTTGATCGGATTCGACTCTGACATGTCAGGCTGGCACTGGTAAGTGTGCTTTTCATCAATTCGAATGCAAACCGGATTTACCTCGGCACTGCCTTGACTATTATCCAGACTCCGTGGATCCCCTGTCGTATGGAGTGGCAGCTGGTGGTAAATTGACGCCGATACTGGATCATGAAGTCATTGTGCATTTGATTGGACCGCAAGCACGGCCTCACCACGTTGTCTATCGACAATCTTACGCTATGGTTACTCTCGTTACATCGCGTTGGATGCTGAGCTTTGTTCCCACTGACAGAGGAGTTAGACAATTATTTACCGTTTCAGGACGAGGTAGGCCGCTTCAGCTAAACAGAGATGCGACCTAGAGGCGAGATGAGTCACCGCCTGCTGCGCCTGCATGCAACCGCGCGGCGAAATCGCACTAATAGCCAAGGCAGGCTTGCAAATGCGACTAACGGCTGTGATGCAGTGTGAGTTTTAAGCCTGTTGAGGTGAAGCTAGAAACCCTTTCGTCTACCTCAAGCAGCCGCGGGTGCTTAAGAATGATGGCGCTTTAATATGATTTATGAGGAGATAAATGCATGTTTGGTGAGAGTGCGTCGTGGTGTGTGGCGAGCACGCACAGTCCACGAGTTGCTTATTTGACCTTGTGTGATCCTCGCCGCGGATGGAATAAAGGTGGTTACACTAGAACTTCAACTCCGCCCAAACGAATACGTACCGTTCACCTCCCTCATATCCACTGTCGCCTTCGTTGCGCACTTCTCCTAACTATGTCCTGTCCATCTCATTCCCAACAACGCGTTGGGGTTTCAATAGTACGTATTCTCCCACTTTCTACGTCAAGCGCCCGTCGAAACAACCATCTTTTTTTGTTTAGGACCTTTCACGCAGCTCGTCAAGCAGGTTCTAACTATCAAAAATAAAAATGCACAACCAGTAGCATTCAAAGTTAAGACTACAGCGCCGAAGGTGAGCTGATATAGAGGAAGATATTTCAGTAACTTATGAATTGCGTAGTTGTACTGCGTACGACCAAACTCTGGTAGGATAGAGCCTGGTGAAAGTGTCGATGTCTCCGGTATGTGCCTCGTGTTTAGTTCCAATTGCGACTTCGCTTACATCTTCAACAGTAATGCTACAACCGATGAAAGACGAAACCACCTTTGTCGTCCAAGTGCAAGGACAAGTTCCTAATTCAAAGTATCCCTCATCACACCCGAAAAGGAGACCAGAGATTTACAGGAATTCGTAAGTCTTTCTTTGTGCACACGTATTCTCATCTTTATATTTGTCCACAGTGGAATGCGCAAGCAGGCGCTGAGACGAGTGGAAAGTTTACCAACAAAAACTCCGTGTTGTATACCTCCTCCTGAAGGACAAACTGTTGAAGAGGAGGATGAGGGGACATGTGGAGCCCCCTATGCCTTCCCGCCCTATTGCAGAGCACCTGGTGGAACCGTCTGTGAGTGCTTCGACTACCTGGGAGCAATTCGAATTACTGAATACGATTGCACCATCTGCAGAACTACACAACTCTCCAAGATCCGGAAGCCACGCCTTACTCCACCTATGCCAGAATTCTCTTATGATGACGCAGTTCAAGCTGCACAGCTCGTGCAACCTCAGCGCTCTGCCACGCCGCCTGCACCAGAAGCGAGAAGTGAACAGTTCTCAAGAGGCTGGTTCTTATCGGGAGGAATTCGATTTCCAGAGATCTACCAGTGGCGGAGTCGGCGTTGTCAACGTAACGTACTTTCGGTCGTCACCACCCCCCTCTCCTCCAGCGACTTCGGCTGCCCTCTATTAACAAAGAATTGGAAGCGAAGTATATCGCAGCTCAAGATGAGATACAGCGGCTTCGGGATCTTCTTGCGGCTGTGCCAGACCCTAGCTCTTTGGCGCCAGAGTCCATCGCACCTACCTCCATCGCTCCCTCGGACTTCCGGAGGAGACATACATCAGCGCTCTCAGACGATGGAGAGACGTACGCAGGATCTGACGTCGGCACCATGGTGGAGCATGATAGTGTTATCCACCAAGAAGGCGTTCCACTACAGGTGGTTGTTATTATTGCGCTTGGCGTTTTTTATCACAACGTATCTATTTTTCTAAGTAGCCGAGCAGGAACGTGCTTTCCGTGCTCCTTTCATCCCCTTCCTTCGTCGATCCCTTCGGGCTCGTTGAAGCATTTCGCGCTGCACATGCCACGCATCATATACAATATGTTCTCTCCGTTGGTGATATGAAAGGGGTATTTGGGAGTGTTGCCGCAATTCCTCATGACTTTTTCGCATTTATTACCGAGTTACATAGTACGTTAGCATTTTTTCCTTGTCGTGTTTGCTTAGTGTTATCATTCTGTGCATCGCTATATATGATCCGATTTGAATAACACGACTATGGACGTGGTTCAACATTGAGGAGCTGGTCTTGCTGCGGTTTGGAGGAAAGGAATCGGGCGACAAACCTCGAGGCCTGTACCGTAATAGTGTGTTATGTACCCAGCGTTCTATGACGACACAAATAGACTCGTAACTATTTGCGCGATGGAGTGTCGTACTCAGGCCGAGAACACGATCGAGCTTTGTGTCTCGATCTCCGAATGACATCATTGAGTACGCATGCACACGGACCTCCTTGAACCGGTCCACTCCGGAGCGCCCCGGGCCGAAAATTGGTTGTGCCTCACTAAATTAATGCCTCACTGATAAATGCCTCACTGCGTGTTCGGATGACGTGACTTCTAATACACAACCCACCACCATGAACACTTACCCTCAAAAACAATCTAAGAAACCTATCTTTTTCACTGCAGCAATTACTGCTGCGGTCCTCTTTTTCGGCTACAACCTGGCTCTTCAAGCATCCGAGGTCGCAATCGTCCAAAAGGTGTGTTGTTAATGGTTCTCCACTATCATGGCTGACAAAAAGCGGCAGGCGATCGTGGTACTAAAGGGCGACTCCCCAGTCACTGGCACCATCACATTTGAGCAGTCCTCAGCAGATGGGCCAGTCAAAAGTCTCAGGAGAAATCGAGAACCTCGACCCTTCTTCTCTGCGTGGCTTCCATATCCAGTGAGTATCGATGCTTCGCGAAGTAGGTCAAGTATCAAATTTTGATATCAATAGCTCTCTGGGAGACCTCAGCGATGGTTGTATGTCTACAGGGTCGCACTTCAATCCATACGACAAAACCCACGGTGCTCCCTCAGACTCTGTCAGGCATGTTGGCGACCTTGGGAATATCAAGAGCGACGAATATGGCACAGCCACCTATTTCCTTCAAGGACAGTTTCATTTCCTTGAATGGCCCCACGAGCATACTTGGGTAGCTAGATATACAGATTGCACCGTGGCTCAATAGTATGAAACTCATTTCCGTTTGCCAGACGGGCTGTCGTCGTTCATGCGGTATGGTACCTTTTCATGTTGGACGTGGCTCCTTACTAATACACCGTGTAGGGCGTCGATGATTTGGGACAAGGCAGTAATGAAGAGTCTCTCAAGACTGGAAATGCAGGGGGACGAGCTGCCTGTGGTGTCATCGGTTTGTCTTCTAATAATCTTTCACGACAACCTGATGTTAATCAAGAGTCGCTATAGGACTCGTGTAAATCATCTGAGTATTGGAGCATGCCGCGTTGTCTTGCACTTATCACTTGCATCATATGTTGCCCATATTTTTCGGTCTCTGACAATCTATATGTCTTTACCTGAGCTGCGTGAGAGCTCAATAAGATGGTAAAGTGCGGATCGATACACCCACCAGTACCCGCGGAGTTCAGTAAGAATCGAGAGCCTTGTGATCATCTTCTAGAACGACCGCGTCTCCATTGGCGGCACTAGCCCGGCCATCTGATTTGCGCTGTGTCTGCTCCTGATACGGAGATTCAGTCTAGTCAGCTGAACAAGCCGTTTCAAAACAAATAGTTTCCTGGTTTCTAACGGGTATCCAAGTAAGTTGAACTTGTTATTCAATAACATCTTGAGCTTCATCTGCGTTTCAGTTATGTCCAATCCACCTTTGTTTCGTGACCCATGGGCGAAGAGGGAAGCATGGCGAAAATCCCCTGTGTTCACGAACCATGCCATGATTTCTAGCGTGTTTCCAGGGCTTGGAATAACACTAGTAGCGTTTACCGCGTATGTGATAGTTGATAATTTCTACTCCAAAACGCAACCAAGGCAGAAGCGCTGAGTTGGTTCAGGTGATGCTGGTAAGTGACAGCAGGAAGTTGTCTGTGTGTGCATTGCCGTTTAACTCCCCGATAGAAAGGAATTTACTGTTGCTCTTCGCATCTTATCATTTGGTTGAGTCCGCGCTCAGTATACCACATGACACACAACGTCGCATTTTCGCGCCATTGTCACGGTCATTGCCACACAGCATGCGGGCCGATCTGCCGATTCGTGACCCCTGTTGGACTTGCTTCTATAAGCAAGGGCGAGAGTTACTCCTGAGCAAAATACCGTCCCAAAAGCATCAGGTTGAGCGTTGAGCCATTCACATTACTGGTTGGACTTTCCTGATGGTGCCATTTTTCTTCACTTGCTAGGACTCAGCCCCACTGCTTCGTGGAAGTGGTATCCTCGTTCGACGATAACTGATTCGCCTGGTTTAAAACATTACAGCACCACATCCTCTATTCCCCATCTCTGTGGTAGTTCCTCGAGTGAGATCAGCTATACTTGCTAATCGCCACCAGAAACCAGTACAGGTCGTTCTTGTTCATCTTAAAATGCGTTTGCTTTTTAAATGGACAGGAGCCGACCGTGTACTATTTATGTCCCAATGTATGGGAACATGCCAATGGCCTGCACACTACACGGATCATCTCCTGTGGATTACTTATCAGAGCGCAAGGAGTATCGCAAGTAAGGTGACAGTCACAGCCTTTTGATTCAGAATCCATCGTTTTTGCGATGTCAGCCCACCTCATCGTCAACATGCCCCGATCCAACACTTCTCGATAGCTACAGCTTTTGGCTAGTGAATGGAAGAATCCTGAGGTAGTCCCTCATGACGAATAGAATAGGCTCGTTCTAAAATTGAGAGCAGGAGAACTATGTATCGTTAGGTACATGTACTAGGTGGGCGTAGTAAAATAAGTATCCTCACCTCAGTCTTAGTTGGAAAGACTGAGCAACAACTATATCATACGGAGAGACTATTAAAACGAGTTAAGACGGAGAACGAAAGGAAACGTGTATCGATAAGTGATTATGTAAGTATGTTGTGTCTGATATTGTAAAATAGAGACGTCCCCGACACCCACTTAAGTTAGTGGGGAGAGGTAAGTTATCGTTCTGTATAAAATAAACGTCCCGAGGCTATCTAGTATCATCCTTTTTGGTTTGGATTATTGAGTGCAAAAATACGAGTGCGTTCTGCTTTCCTCGGTCTGTTGATGCTCGATTGCAAGAGCGCGTATTCATTTCAATTCGGGACACTCGACGTAAACCAACTGCTTCAAATGACACTTGTGAGTTCTCCTTTCTCAGTACATTCTGCGATTCTTCGACTCACGGAGATCGATCAATCAGCCGTCACCTTAGACCTCTTATACTAGGATTCGTGCCACATTTCAACTGCTCCGCTGTGTGTACGACATCGCCAGTATTCCAATTGTCGAAGGCAGTAATTAGTGTCGGTACACGTCTCACCATCCTTTGTCAGTTTAATCCAAGTTCTCCACCTAGACGCAACAACTGCGCTGCTACCACCTCTCGCCACGCCGAAGGGTCTGGAATGCAGAACATGATGGATTGTTTCTTTTCTCCCGCTGATCCTTCGCACGTGAGTATCTTTTTCGGCAATCCTCGAATGCTATCTCCTCAGTATGTAATTACATGTTAATGTCCTTAATTGCCGTTGCGCAGAAACTCCTGCACAAGCTGTCCAGCACCTGAGACGTAAGGAGCATACGGCACCTTCCTCGCCTCCGCCGCCAAATACTCTGCCATTTCGACGGTATCCACAAGTGCTGACTGCCCCTTGTCTTCTGTTTCACCCGTTCGTTATTGACGACATGTTGCCACCACGGCGCACTGCTTGTTTGTTTCTGATACCGCTGTGTTACTGCTCGATGTCACGCCTTTTTTTGTTTCCATTCATGTCCGTTGAGAGTATGTTACTCTATGTAGGACAGTTCTATCTAGTCTAGGGGCCCCTTGCCCCTCTGCCCCTCCGATGTCACGCCTTCAACGTAGCTGACTGCCCTTCAAGTTTTATCCATGGCTGGTCGCCAGTTCAAATGCTATACAAATATGTCGGGAACTGGCGCAGCCGAGCGCCGTTACGATACAATATGTAAATAACTTTCTCATCGGTTCACGGGTTCACTGATGCCAGACACCGGAATGGTCAGACTGACTCGGATAACATGAACAGGGAGACACCGGAAAAATGATAACATAAACAGGGTATAGTATCAGAAACCGATCGTGAATCTGCAAAGATTTTCTAATATTAATGTCACGGTTAGGCACAGAACTTTGGTCTTGAACCGTCTCCAAGCATTCAAATAGCCATCTGTGGAGGAATATATGCTCCATCGCGCCCCGTTTTCCATTTTTACCTGCAACACCTAACTGATCCTGATGTCATCTACCTCGAATTACACCACTCTCATCTTCGATATTGGTGATGTTTTATTCTCCTGGTCCCTGCAGACCAAAACCTCCATATCCCCAAACGTTCTACGTAAAATTCTTTCCTCTCCTACATGGATTGACTACGAAAGGGGGAGGATTTCCCAGGCTGAGTGCTATGCTAGGGTCGGCGGCGAATTCTCTGTAGACCCCACAGAGGTTGGTCGTGCGTTCCAAGATGCTCGTGACTCTCTGCAGTCCAACGAAGAGCTCATATCGGTCATTCGACACCTCAAAGCACGCTCGGACGGGATGCTACATGTCTTTGCCATGTCAAATATTTCTGCGCCTGACTATGAATTTCTTCGTACCAAGCCTGTTGATTGGTCGTTGTTCGACGGCATCTTCACCTCCGCCGGCGTGGGCGAGCGGAAGCCTAACCTCGGCTTCTACAATGCAGTGATTTCGAGCACAGGGGCTGACCCCTCCCGCACTATTTTTGTGGACGATAAAATGGAGAATGTCCTCTCCGCGCGTTCGCTTGGAATGCATGGTATTGTTTTCGACGATCACCGTAAAGTCGTCCGCGCGCTTTACAACCTACTTGGAGATCCTGTCGAAAGGGGCAGACAATACTTGACCGTGAATGCGAAGAAACTCCTATCCGTAACTGACAACGGCAATTTGTTACGGGAGAACTTCTCTCAGCTTCTCATACTGGAGGCGACTGATAACCGGTATGAGGATTACCTTTCTTTCCCAGCACTTATTGAACAGCATGTCAGGAATCTCGTCAACTTGACTGATACACACCGGATGTGGAATTTCTTCCAGGGTATGTACCAAATGTTTGCCACCATTATTTAGCGGCTGATTTAGTATCAGGAAAACCATTGCTTACTACTGAAGAATATCCCTTTGACTTGGATACCACGTCCCTTGGATTTACCGTAATGGGCGGCCTTGAGGACGTAGCACATTCTGTCATGGATGACATGCTTGACTATATTGACGACGATGGGATCATTCAGGTACGTGCATTCAGCCATTCTTTTCCATACATTAGCTGACTCCCAGTAATTACAGACATACTTTGACCACCGCCGACGTCAGTTTGATCCAGTCGTGTGTGTCAACGCACTCACATTGTTCTATTCTTACGGACGTGGCCATCAGCTGGATCGCACCCTTCACCGGATACGCGAGGTGCTCCTGCATAGAGCTTATCTCGATGGTTCGCGATATTACGTGACCCCGGAGTCCTTCCTTTATTTCCTTGGTCGGCTACTTGAAATCAGCAACGACATCTCCTTAGCGGCCTATATAAAGCCACTACTGATCGAACGCATTCAGGAGCGCATTGGGGCCGATGGTGACGCTGTGGCGCTCTCCATGCGCCTCCGGCTTTGTGCCTACCTTGGACTACGCAACGACGTCGATCTTCATACTTTGCTTCCTCTGCAATGTGAAGATGGAGGCTGGGAAATTGGGTGGATCTATAGATACGGGTCCTCCGGTATTAGAATTGGAAATCGCGGTCTTACCACATCCCTGGCCATGAAGCCATAGAAACCTTCCTTCCCCTTCTGCAGGACCCCTCGTCAAGCAGGTTTATACCACCGCACAATCTCCTGAGCGCTTTTCGCAACACAAGAGCGACTCTTCGACCACTTCCAGCTCTATTGCAGCGAGCTAATCTGCCAGTAGCACTAGGCAACACCCGTAAATCGTTCCATTGGTTCTAAGACGATTGAAGAAATAATGACAACTGTAGATGAGGCGGGGTTCTGACGATAGATTTTACGCCGTGGTTCCCGGCGCTCTTTGCTTTTTCTCACTGTACAATATTTGCGACACTTTTAAAAAACGAATATATACTAGTACTACGGTTACCGTGCCTTTCTGTGACATTTGCTGTCCTTGAGCGGAATCCTATGCACTTACGGCAATTCTAGACCTTGATTGTAAAGTATAGACCCCTCGTATCATCATAGCATAGCTGTTCCATGTTGGAGAGTAGAGGCCACTAGAGGTGTAGGCAAGGCAGCAGTGATGTTTGGCGGTATTTAGTATGGCAAGCCGGACACACGTGCTCAATTATTGAGCAAGTATGGCAACATCACCTTGCTCCACAATAAGTAGTACCAGACACCAGAAAGTGTAAGCTCCTTTCTTACCTGAGTTCCCATAATCAACATAAATACTGTCCGAGATAATCAAGCTTGAGCTTTGATTATCACTGCCTTTTGGCCTAACGGTCTGGGCGTAACTGTTAAGGGACGACAGTCTTAACTACTTACAGAAAGGTCTGAATGATAATGTGATATCGCCACTGCCGCAGCAAGTAGACTCGTGACCAGCCCGTCTATGAGGCAAGCCGTCATAGACGGGCTGGTCACCAGTCTACGCAGCAAGTCCCCGACTCCTATTGGCTCGCATTTCTCCCTCGTCATTTACAAACACTCCGTACTCCATAGTCTATTCTAGTTACAACCCATACCAACTCGTTCATTCCGCATTCAATAGCCTATTCTAGTTTCGACCCATTCAACTCCAGAAAATACCTTGCTTCACGGACCTGGCGTTTGTCAATGGATATTTGCAACAGCAACTTGTGCTCACTGTCTCATGATACTGTTCATCCATGGTATGTCCACCTCGTTGCAGTCGATGATCTTGTTCTTTTTCCCCAGGCATGTTTCACCAACAACACGTTGCCAGTGACGTGATCGAAGTTCGCTCTATTCCGCGAATCAAACTGTTGGGTGCAGGGAACACTGCTGGATGTTCGCGAAAGAACGTGTATCCAAGCGCCGGGGCTCTGGCAGGCATCTCCGCAATGAGATTGTACGTTTTGCGGATTCGTCCAGTAGAAGACCACATGAAAAGGGAAATGCAGGCGTTCGTTCCGTAGAGCAGCCCTCGCACGACGCATAGACCCTTCATAATGCATAATGCTTGAACCGCTCGCCGTCAAAGCTTTTTTTAAATCCTTGTTCATTGTCCGTGTGGCCGAAACCCTATGTTAGACAATACATACTATAACTACTCGTTCTGATAATGCGTGTTACTTGGATGGTGGGTCTTATACAATGGACCTAGCCGGGGCGCGGATGTTAACACCAGCTTAAGGTGATCAACTGTATCCAGAAGGCAACGAATCTAAGTGAGACAGCAACGGCCTGGGATTTCTTCGCCAGTGAGGATCGCCGTACCTCGTCGACACACAAAATTGGTGCTCGCAATTCACATCACCTCCCGTATCGGCATTCGCAAACAGAGTAGAAGAATTGACTGAGGATGGGAACGACGGCATAGGACGTGACTGGAAGCGCAGGGCAGCTGCAGGGAGTCCAGATTTTAAAAGGAAAGAGGGCCTTTCATGCCAGTAACACCCAGACTCTGAGATGCAGACGATACGTTAGATTATGTCACCCTGTTGTATGGCATGAGAAGATGTACCTCAGTTCCCCGATTCCCACGGGGCCACGTTAGGAGGGCAAAGTTTGTCATACGTCTAATTTCTCAGTCCGCGCTCTTGCAACCTTAACTCTGTTCTGACAAAATCCGACCAAGGCTCTCCTCTACTAACGTGGGAGTTGGGGAACTAGACACCGGATACTTGTTGAGGGTCCGAATGATAGGGTCACCTATAGTACCAGACACCCGAGAAGACCGAATGATCATTAACATGAACAAGGTATAGTACCACACATTGGCGGAAAGATCTGAATGATGACATGAACAGGGTATAGTACGACGCCAATTGTGAATCTGCAGAGGTTTGCAAATGTCACGGTTAGGCACCGAGCAGTGCCGACTACCACTTCGGTCTTGGACCGTCATCTCCAAGCATTCAAATAGCCATCTGTGGAGGAATATGATATGCTCCATCGTGCCCCGTTTTCCATTTTTACCTGCGATATCTACTAGTAACTGATCTTGATGTCATCTACCTCGAATTACACCACTCTCATCTTCGATATTGGTGATGTTTTGTTCTCTTGGTCCCCGCAGACCAAAACCTCCATATCCCCAAACGTCCTACGTAAAATTCTTTCCTCTCCCACATGGCATGACTACGAGAGGGGGAGGATTTCCCAGGCTGAATGTTATGCTAGGGTCGGCGGCGAATTCTCTGTAGACCCCACAGAGGTTGGTCGCGCGTTCCAAGATGCTCGTGACTCTCTGCAATCCAACGAAGAGCTCATATCGGTCATTCGACACCTCAAAGCATGCTCGGCTGGGAAGCTGCATGTCTTCGCCATGTCAAATATTTCTGCGCCTGACTATGAAGTTCTTCGTACCAAGCCTGTTGATTGGTCGTTGTTCGATGACATCTTCACCTCCGCCGGCGTGGGTGAGCGGAAGCCTAACCTTGGCTTCTACAAGGCAGTGATTTCGAGCACAGGGGCTGACCCCTCCCGCACTATTTTTGTGGACGATAAAATGGAGAATGTCCTCTCCGCGCGTTCGCTTGGAATGCATGGTATTGTTTTCGACGATCACCGTAAAGTCGTCCGCGCGCTTTACAACCTACTTGGAGATCCTGTCGAAAGGGGCAGACAATACTTGACCGTGAATGCGAAGAAACTCCTATCTGTAACTGACAACGGCACTTTCTTACGGGAAAACTTCGCTCAGCTCCTGATACTGGAGGCGACTGATAACCGGTAAGAGGATTACCTTTCTTTCCCTGCACTCATCGAACAGCATGTCAGGGGTCTCGTCGATTTGACTGATACACATCGGACGTGGAATTTCTTCCAGGGTATTTACCAAATGTTCGCCACCATCATTTAACACCTGATTTGGTATCAGGAAAACCATTGCTTACCACTGAAGAGTTTCCTTTTGACCTGGATACCACGTCCCTTGGGTTGACCGTAATCGGCAGCCCTGAGGATGTAGCACACTCCGTCATGGATGACATGCTTGACTACATCGATGACGATGGGATTATTCAGGTGCGTGCGTTCAGTTACTATTTACCATGTGTTGGCCAACTCCCGGTAATCACAGACATACTTTGACCACCGCCGACCTCGGTTTGATCCGGTTGTATGCGTCAACGCGCTCACGTTGTTCTATTCTTATGGACGTGGCCATCAGCTCAATCGCACCCTTCACTGGATACGTGAGGTGCTCCTGCATAGAGCTTATCTCGATGGTACGCGATATTACGCGACCCCGGAGTGCTTTCTTTATTTCCTTGGCCGGCTGCTTGAAATCAGCAACGACATATACTTGGCAGCATATATAAAGCCGCTGCTGATCGAACGTATTCAGGAGCGCATAGGGGCTGATGGTGACGCTCTGGCGCTCTCCATGCGCCTCAAGCTTTGTGCCCACCTTGGAATACGCAACGACGTCGACCTTCGTACTTTGCTTCCTTTGCAATGTGAAGATGGAGGCTGGGAAATCGGATGGATCTATAAATACGGGTCCTCCGGTATTAGAATTGGAAATCGCGGTCTTACCACATCCCTGGCCTTGAAAGCCATTCAGGAGATGCAACAACGCTTCCCTAGTACCCTTTCGTCCCCTTCTGCGGTAAGCAGGCTTATACCACTGCACACTCTCCTCCTGAGCACTTTTTGCAGCGCAAGAGCAACTTGAACTCTCTAACCACTCCCAGTTCTATTGCAGCGAGCCCATCGGCCAGTACCAGACAAGACCTGTAAATCGTTCCATTGGTTCTAAGATGATTGAAGAAATGACGAAAACTGCGGATGAGGCAGGGTTCTGACGACATATTTCCGCCGTGATTTGCGGCGCTCTTTGCTTTTTCTCACTGTCCAATATTTGTATATACCAGTACTACTGCGCCTTTCTGTGTCAATTTGTTGTCCTTGAGCGGAATCTTACGTACTTGCAGCAATTCTAGACGTTCGTTGTAAAGTCTAGACTCCTCGCATCATCATAGCGTAACCGTTCCATTTTATCAAGACCCTTATAAGATGTCGTGCGACAGGATTCCACTGACATCAACTCAATCAAGTCCTTCGTCATTGTTCAATGTTCGGATAGTCCCAACTATGTATATACCTACGTCGTAGACCATCCTTTGCTTGTCGTCTCCCGCCATATCATAGACACACGATACAGCGTTGTTCTCCAGCTCCAACATCAAGCAATCATGCGCGCGAAGTTTCGGCTTATACTTGACCCTTCACGCGAAGACAGGACGTCCCAGCTAAGTGCACTTCCGACGGGTCATCACACAATATGTCGATTCCACAAAGGTTCGAAATAACAATCAGCCCCACTCAGTTTATCACTGCGTCTCAGCATAAATCCAAGATGTAAACCGAGACCGTCTCGTCCACCCATGATTTGACCCGGCAGCCGCAATCTCCTTTCTCAGCCGTTCCTCTGTCGCCAAATGTTCTTCTGCGATTGCTTCAGTCACGACAGCTTCCCGGGTTGTCACGACAGCATCTCGAGGTGTCGCGGCGGCTCCTTGAGGAGTCACGTGTGACAGCGACACTCGCGAGCCACCAAACCTTATAATCGATGCCGTAGAACGCGCAAATTCAGCCTGTGCATGTAGATCCGGCCGAGACTCAGGGTCAAGGCCACGAAACTGAGATTGGGTATGAAGGTTAGGTGGCGGAAGGTATGAAGATGCCCTTTCACGAAAGGATCTTGGTGCGTGGTCGGAGGATGACTTGCGAGAGAATTCGGGGCGACTGCTGTCCATGATCTGCGATCGACCTGGAAGACCTCGAGATGCGCGGTCGCCACTTTTCATGCTGACATTACTACCTGAGCGATGTCGAGGGAACAAGGACGGACGGCGAGGTCTTGTGGACTCTACATCAACCTCCTGATCAATAGTGACGACGCGGGACTTGATGCCTTCAGGAAGATCGATATCTTCACTGCCGCTGTATTGCCTAGTTACAAGGATGGACGGTTGTTCATCGCCGGGCACTGAGCTGGGGAGTTGAAACGCGGGGGATGCGGAAGATCCGGGACCAAACCAGTGATCCATATCACCAGTGCCGGGCTCACTTGTTAAAGCTTGGTAAAGATCAACAGTGTCATCGAGGTCCAGAAGACCTAGGGGATTCCTTGGGAGCCATAGGGCATTACTGATAGGTCGTGTGTAGTAAGGGTTATCATAAGGGATATCATGACGGGGTTCATCATCCCACGCTGCAAGAGGTGGATGCCGCTGTACGAGGGAAGTTGAGATGCGTGCTGGAGGCTGGCGTTGCCGTTCGGCAGGTGGGGATCCAAGCGTCCCATCCAGAATGGCAGCAGATGGTTCTCCTTGGTCCGAGGTCGATGGCGTTTTCCCTTTCTCATCTACTGAATGTAGCCTCGAGAACGAACGGGCGTGAAGGCTGGACAGATTCGGCTTACGCCGCTCATGTGGTCGAAGTCTTCGAGGAATGGTTGAATAAGAGAAATTCACCCAGGCCGGCAAGCGCCAGGTCTGGAATCTCGAAGGGTGGTCCTCAGCGACGACTGCTACGTTCTTAGTACTGCCAGGGTAGTCTGGTGGGTTAACCTGGCTTTCAGGGACGTCTTCAGATTCTCCCGTGCCCGTCCTGCAGACTGCCAGGGCCTCCTCAGTATCATCTTGCTCGAATTTGGCGCGGCACATTCGGGTCATGCTGATCGTGACTTCATTATCAGAGTAGAGGTTGATGGAAAGATAAAATACACGCACATCACCTTGACTATCGCGGTGAAGACGAATAAGACACCCGATAGCACTACATTGGCAGTTATCCGCAACACAGCCATGTACGCCAGGAATACGAACTAAGCCAAGAGTCAGTTTATCGTACAGCAAGTAGCAGAGAATAGAACGAACTTGAGATAACATCAATCCTATGAATGGAAATACATCAGTGACATTCAGGCGTGCAGATACTTAGTATCATACCATCCAATGAATAACGAAGGATACGGATCAACAGTATTTGACCATTGCATTCGTAGTTCTTCGCATAAACATGTAGCAACTGCCCGTCTGAATCAGATCCAGAGTCGCGAAGAATATGATGTAACATACCTGATTTTTTACAACAGCTGGAAAACGTTTTAGTCAGCATAAGTACTATCATGGACCGCATAAACAACAAACCAGTCTCAACCGAGAAATAGACCAACCCGAAGGGTATGACAAGTGGGTTAAGTAGAGCGAATAGGAGTAACACGTGAATGACCAGGAGATGGTTTGGTAGCCAGTCTGCATTCAGAAACACTGTAAGAAATCTCACTGAGAAAAATGACGGAACTCACAATAGAAATTATATGTTCGTGGGCGAATACCAACAGCTCTTTTCCTCGGAGTCACATGTCGCTCGGTGGAGGGATGAGCGAACAAAGGCAACTACAGCGAGGGATGTCAACATCATGACGATCTTCATCACGACTTCATAGAAACTTACACCAACTGCAAAGCTCAACGTGAGAACGGGATGCAATACCATAAGTCATGGATGCTTACACAACACAAGCTCAAAGCCTCCATGAATTCCAGTAGTAAAGATCACTGCAAGCAAGTAGAACCCATCAATTCACTGCAAGACGTCGAAGGATTGTACTTACGCCATCCAACGTAGAACGGTCCGGCCGACGGGAAACTATCAGCGACAGTATTTATTATACCACTCCCGGACACGGTCTTGAACGAAGTAAGGAAAGACTGGAGTGCAGCGGTTCCCACGCAGAAAAACACCAAGACATTGACAATTAGGAATTTATAGTAACGGGTCATAATCGTGTCATGCATTACGGAAAGAGTGGTGATTGTATGGGCTTTCTTCGAAATGAGTAGAAGGATGGGCGGAATGAGGATCGCGAGTAGGGAGATAAGGACAGTCGGAAGGAATGATTGAATGACGTCTTCCTCCCAAGCGTGACTGGATAGATAATTGTACTACTCGGATGTTCAGCACAGAAGATGCCAAAGAAGGATTACACATACCAAACTCGGCCAGAATACCGAAATGCTTTGAATGGAAACGAGACCAACGAATAGTGACACTGGAAAAACCCAGAATATTGTGAATCCCCTGAGACATGGTCAGCGATCGCTCGGTGGTCATACAACAGCGGACCAGTACTTACCAGACTCCAATGTTTACTACCCAATCTTTGAGAATGTCCGCTTGATAAGTTGACCTCATAACCCTCGTCCAATCGATGTCTTCATACTGCGGGGCCATCGTCACAAGGCATGCAAGTGGGTTATTAGGATGCACTGCTAAGTACTTGCATGCCTTCCTTGCATCTGCCGGATCTTTGAAGGTTACGAACGCTGTTGACACAGCGTCGTATTCCGTAGCAGCCCGCGCTCGATTCTGCGTTATCAACGATGTAAGGAGGTTGAGTTTGGCAGTGTAATAATCAATGCTCGGCACGGTCTTCCCACGGAAGAAGACAGAAAGGTGGATTAACGGCTGATATGGGTCCAGTATGTTTCGTGGCAAACTGAGGAGTGCATCCCATATCGTCTTGTGTGGGTCGATGCTGTTCGTCGCCGGATCCACTTTGACACTGTCAGTCCGTGGTAGCCGCTAAATTCTGTAAGACGCACCCTTCGTCTTCAGAATGAGATTGCGCCTTTGGGGCGCAAACTTGCTGGTCAATTCGTAATCAACCAGAAACGATGAGAGGGTCCGGACGAGTAAGTCTGTATCATTCAAGTTGTTCTGGTGTCCGATGTGGGTTTGATTATACTCGTTTTCTACATCCGAGGTCCTAGCGTGCCTGGGCACGGTGGTATCCTTCCTTGAACCGTCTCTATGTTGTACACTGTACACCGCTAAAAGTGCCTTCTTTGCCAATCTGATATGCGCGCCCTCTAAACGACGGAGAATCTCCTCGCGCCGTTCCAGCAATGACGCCAGTTCTGTCATTCGTCGTGCAATGACAACTCGGTCGATGGGTGGAACATTCTCCAGGTTTAGATTGGGAACTTGTCCAAGTGGAGCTCCATCGCTTCCTTCCTGGCTCCCATTCGCAGTTTCGCGTGCAGACATACCTATGTTCTGCGGAATGCGCTTCGCTCGATTGAAACCAAAAGCGAACAATTTGTTCAATAGACCGGGTTGAGTCGATGCTGGCAAGCCAACGGAAGGCTTGTCGACAGACCGCGATAGATAGTACTCAAAGTACTCCTTGAGCTCCTTTTCTGAGCGAAGTTGTAACGGGACGTTGGCCACCATCACGGTACGCAGACGCAAACCACGGTTGGAGTGGTCGGTATCAAGGGATGGAATATCCTGGAAGGGGTATTGTGGGTGGGGATGGGGATGATATTGTGCCTCCTTCTCGATCATGGTATCGGACTCCACACTGCGTATGGCGCTTTCTATTTTGGCTGCTCGTAATATGAACGCTCCATTGCAAATGTAAAAGACATTGTATATCCAGGTAAGTGTGATCCAGAAAAGGAGGCAAATATGAATCCAGAGTAGGGAGCGACCTTGCTGAGTTGTTACGAGTGAAGAAATTGATGCTCTTGTCATTGATTGCGTTGAAACGCCATCCGAAGAAAAGTGGACATGTATCGGAAGGAGGATAAGAGTGGTCGTAAATGTATGGACGAGGACAAAGAATACTTATGGACGACAGAAATGAGCGGATGCGATTCAAGTGCACGCTGTAAGTACTCACGGGTCCCACGCAGGAAACGCACATACAACGTTGCATCGACTCCTCTAAGCTCGTTAAGCTTTGCTTGGGGAAAGGTGATGCTGTCCTTAACCCAGGATAATGGCCAGCCTTTCGGCGTCGGAGGGGAAGGATTCCTGTTACCACTATCAGAATGAGAAAGAATAGGAGTCACGAGCGACAAACCGTGCCCACGAACGACCCTGATACAAGCTAGAAGTTCGACCACCAATTAGAAGACAATAAGGAGACGATGGGTGTGCTCACTAGCCAAACTCCCAAGACTCGACACTTCCAAGCCCCCCAGGTTGGGTGTGAAGTCCGCGTCTCCTTCTCTTCATGATCTCGTGCGATGTCACAGACACCGCGACCAATACAATTGCTATGACCGACTGATTGATGAGGCCACTAAGACAGTAACAAATGTTAACTTCATATGCACTGAAGACTTTGAGGGAGTAGACTAAACCTATAATCCTTTGAAAAGAGCCTGGTCTGAATGTCAGCCATGATGGCGATAGTTTCCAGCAAGTGTCAAATACGTCAGCTTGGTCTCGCCAGAATCCAGATGACGATATATAGGTGAGTGGAGCGAAGGGAGTAAATTGTGGTACCAAACTCCGAGTTCGACGGTTCCTCGGATAGTAGTCAAGGAACTCCCGGGCCACCGTGTGGCTCCACCATGACAAGCTTCGGTCAGTCAATCAGCGCCGCCGAGCATGCAGCTGTCTGGCATGCTCCGACGTTGTATTAATACATGTGTTGTTGTTACTTACTACTACTGGTCAACGCAAAAGTCTAAGTTTGCAAAGCTTTAAGCGCTTAGTACGTTATATCTTACTCAGAATGAGGGTGCAAGTTCAAGCTCAAGTTCCAACCAATTACACAACGTGTGAACTAGATGCAGTAGTTGGTTCTATGGACAAATGATCTACTTCGTGCGCATTATCCGTAGTTTATTCGGCCTATAGACAAAGTTCTCTGAATAGTTCTTCGGAGGGATTTTCTTGGTGGGAGGTGGTTGTCTGCGGTGGCTCATTAGTGTCCAGTTCACGTCAAAAGTGAGAGAGGCACTCACACATAGTAATTCCAACCTGAAGGAAAGACAGTGAGGGTAATGGACGCTGAGGTAGAGATGAAGCGTACCTTGTTTCTCTGCAAAGTGCATGGCATCTTCCTTGCTTCTGAATGACACCCTGGTACCCTGCATATAATCCGCGCTGTGCAGACAGTGATGAACGCCGTTTCAGGTGGAGGATTCAAGTAGCAACCACTCACGAACTGGCCCAACCCATCAGCGGATTCTCCCACCGACCTGCTCCCAGCAGAACATCCCAGTCAATGCGCCACCGCTCTGACTTTCCTGCTCCGCTTTGCATGGTGTTACGGGCTGGTTGATAGATCCGTACCATGCGATGACGGAGCTCCGCTGGATTGGCGGCCATTAAGCATGACGTTTTCATCAGTGTCGATTGATTGAAACACACCTGGAGCACCACTTATAACTTCAGCCGTCAATACATCTGTATGAGCAACCTCCGCAATTTGGGTGGTCTCTTTCTGGGAGGCATCGCCAGTGCGAGCTGGCTGATTGTGAGTCTCTGCAAAGAAACGGCGCGTATAAGTTGTACACGCAGGCAATGGCCGTCTGAATATTGCCTGCTTATAAAAACGGAGCAGAGACATTGTCGAAATCTATTGAGAGGCGAAGAGACGAGCTACTCTCGGGAGACACGGCAAAGTCCGGTTTGGTGGCGGTGCAAGGTGGCCCGTTGGTCGCAACTGAAGTAGATTTTGATGTATCCCAGACCGGTTATTCAATGACCTCGTTTACTTGACGGGGGGCACTTTGTGGTGCGCAAACCGTGAGGATCTAAGCTGAACCATGCCTTTGAAATGAGCGAGAGTACTAAGTAGTATACATGTATTAAGTATGCATCAATCAATGGGGCAGCAGGCACTCGAATGGTACATTTGCTATATCCGATATAATTCTGTGCGGAAATCGGCAAGTCTATGAAGTGTCTGGGTATTTATCATTCATAGATTTTGAGGTAAAAAATATCGAGAAGTACTAACCTTTCATTCATCCCTGTCTTGTATTTCATCTGGCAGCTGCGAGCCCAGCCACCTCAGTACACCGGACAGCATAATCAAGACGACATATACTGCATTTCCATTGAGAATATTGTGTTTCTTTGAAAATGCAAAGAGCGAGGTGGTTAAGGCGGGCCCAAGGGCACAAGCTATCGATCTGGAGCTTTGGGAGAGACCATTAACAACGCCAAGAACATTCTTCGTAGGGGCAGAAGCTGTGATAAACATCAAACCAGTAGCTGTATTTAAGCGGGTTACTTGTAATGGCACGACAAGTTTCATTTTAACACGTACCAAATGCCATATCCCATGTTACTGTCAGAATCAACTGACCAAGCAAGGCATACATAATTGCATGATCAACCATCCCCCTTGTGCGTACCAGCCACGACATCACCGGAAACGCGACAATAAGCGGTGCGAAGCACGACACTGATACACAGAATAGATGTTTGGGACCAACCCAATCAACAATTTTGGCCAAGAACAATGCCTGAAAGAGTCCATCCACGATCCCACAGAACGCCAGCCACAGACCAATAGAAGAAGGAGTAAGGCCCATGCCACCAAGATGGGTGGGCGTGGAAAGAAACAGCGGTATGAGAGCCCTGAAAGACGTGTCAAGGAAGGACAGCATAGCATAGTTTGCGATCGGAATAACAATGGCAGGTGTGAGCAGAGACCACAAGGTCGTATTTGCCGTGGATTGTCGCACAAACGCTTCCTGATCATCACTGTCGACACCACGAGAAACGCCGGGAATGGATAATGTCTGTTAAATGTGAATAACATGGCGTTGAGGAAGGTAGTATTTGGACTAACTTCTTCTAAGAAGTGTAACAGCATAAAAAAGGCCAAGAGGAGCAGAGAAGCCGATACTACACAAGGAAGAAAGTACGAGTATTTTCTCCAAAATGGATCAGTAAACAATCCAGGCCAGTGATCCTGTGGTCGCGCAAGCATTCCCCCCATTAAAGAGCTGGTGTGTCAATTTCATCAGCAGCCGTCGCAATAGTCGAACGATTCCACTTACCCAACAAAACTCCCAATTGACCAGATGATCGGAATCAAGGCAAATCCCTGAGCCATGTTTGTAGAGTCCGTCAATTCGCCCATCACAGTCTTCATGACTCCGGTGTTGCCATTCAATACACCCCACATGCAGCGGCTGGGGAAACCATGTCAGCGTTGCAAAACCACCTTTAGCTGAAGCAAACCTGATGACCAGGCTCCAGAAGGTTGTCGAAAGGCCAAAACATATCATCGAAATGCAAGCTGCTGTTAGTCCGATTAATAACACTGGCTTGCGTCCAATTCGGTCGGACAACCGACTCCAGCTCAATACTGTCAGCGCCTGGGCGAGGTAAAACAGAGAATCCTATTGATCATGTTCGATAATACTATGAGAGAATGATAAATTTTACAAGTCATAATATTGCCACCTACAATTAATCCGACATAATATCCTACAGCTGCATCATCACCTCCAGTGATGTCAATTTCCCTGACAAGCTGAGAAGAGCTTCAGTTACAGTATCGACCACGGACGTTGCAGTAAAATGTTCATACCTGATTGATATACGGGTATATAGACATCGAAGCTATAATTTCCGTAAGTTCAAACATCATAAGTATGCCTATCTGGAATTGTGGAAGAGGCGTTGTAGGCTTAGGCATCACGATGATCTCGCCGTTTGCTATACGAGGAGAACCAGAAGTGACCATCCAGGTGGGTCAGGGCTCCAGTGAGATCTTTGCGAGTGCAGAGATAGACCAGTCGGATTGCCTTGATATAGGACAAGGACAGCATGCGCGTTGATAAGAGCCACCGGACGAGGCGGCGTAGGGCGACATGCTAAGTCGAAAAGGAATTAGTGTTAGCTCTTGATACGGATTGGATGGGCCAGATAACCACCAGCGAACGCTCTAACGTCGCTCGATAGGAAAATTGGTCATGGCAAGGTCCCGGGTCCGCTAAGCCACAGGCTCAGCGAAGCTTTCCAGCTTGAAAGGTCAGCGACTCAGCATCCCAGAAAGAGGTGCTCACTGCCCCGGGGGTCACCTTCTTTGTTTGGCAAAACAACGCCCAAGGTCGAAGCTTCTGAAGATCCAAATGCAACAATCTGAGTTTTGGCGCTCTTTTCAAACCTTTGCTGGAGACAACCATGATGCATCTGATGCATAATAGTAGCAACTTGCGACAAACCCGCCTCTCGGTTAGTTATGTAAATGCCGATCGTCGCACCTGTGCACACCCGGGCCGTTCCGACGCAATAATGGTACCGTTTACCAGCTTGAAGGAGATATATATTCCATCTCCTCACCATCGAGTTGGACGGCAAACTGGTCCTGGAGCTCTCCGCATGTGCTAATTCCCTTCGCACACCATCGCCGTTCAAGCAATCCGAAGCACATATCAATCGAGTAGTGAACATATTAGGGTTGAAGCATGCCAAAGGAACCTCCGAGAGCGATGATGAAGATGATTGATATGGATGATAGTAGATATTGTTGATGAAGCAGTGAATGACAGAAATCCTGTGATGATACGAATGAGCTGGTTTGCAGCAGGCGTTATTGATGATATTCCATGTCCTGGATGCCGCACTTCTGACTGATGGGCCGTCCCTTACAGCATGAAACCTAGCAGTCAAAAACCTATGCCAGTGGCACTGGTACTAAGTAGGGCACAACGGGAAACAAATACTTAATTAGTTAGTAGTAAACAACTACCACAACGTTAACGTCAACTTTTGAACATTTCATTAAAGTTATGACTCATGAGAATTCTATGTCCCGCCATCACTTTTCGCAAATGCGGCATTGAGCTGCCATGTCCTTCAGCATCAGGACAGACCTGGGGTAGATACCTCATTTTGCAATTACCCCGTCAAGTGCCAAGTCAGCTTGATACCGCCGAGTCTCGACCGGCGGTGACTGCGAGATATCTCACAGTCGTATTTAGGATACGGACTTCCTGGCCCGGGGATTGGATGGATGTAATATTGCAGCGCGATAGGGCTTGACAGGGCCATATGACCTCGTTTGATAATGCCTATCATACTAGGTGAGCAAGTATTAAAGGAATACTCACAGTCTTGACACTAGCCATTTCTTACATGATTGACCTCCAGAGAAGAGTCGTCATTATTGGCGCCGGGTAAGTATTGCTTTTGTTGTGATTCTACACCTACTTAATATTGGCTCGCAGTGTTGGAGGGTTGTCCCAAGCTATTGCTCTCAAAACCAAGCTCGGATTTCACAATTTTACAGTGGGTGCATCCATGCAACGAGTAGTATGATCGCCAAGTATTTCAATAGATATATGAGAAAGGGTCTGAAGTCGGTGGGGTTTGGAGGGTACGTTGTTGTCATGCACAAACGTTCTCCTGACATTTTCTACACAGGCCAACACATATCCTGTATGGTCAACGACAAAAACTGCAGAATCTCGCTCACCTCAAAGCTTCTTCTAGGGATGCTCGTCGGATGTCCAAATTCATTGGTACAGCTTATCATCAGACCTTTACCCGCACTGGAACAAGTCGCATGGCCTTCAGCCGGAAATTCAAGCCTACTGGATTAAGCTCTCAAAGAAATATAATCTATATCCACACATCGCGTTCAACACTAAAGTGTTATCTGCGGAGTGGGATGATACCAAACAACAGTACACCATCGTCGCGGAGGACGTCTTTTCAGGCAAGAGAATGTCGAGCGTAGCCCACGTCGTGATATCTGCCGTTGGTATTTTGGAGGCCCCGAAGATTCCATATGAGATCCCTGGAGTTCGGAAGTTTCAGGGGACTTCGTTTCACTCCGCACAGTGGCCAGGCTCAATAGATCTGCAGAATAAGCGTGTTGCAGTGATTGGAAATGCCTCCTCCGGGTAAGTTACACGATGACTTCTGCGCAGGTAATCAGTGGTGACATACAACAAGAGCACAGTTCGTACCATCTATATCTGAAGACCCGTCTGTCGAAGTAGTTAACTTCATCCGTACCCCGACCTGGTTCAACACTCGAGTGAGATTCTTTGTACCGTGTTTGATGATTCAACAACTAAACAAAACATCCAAGCCACATGTTCCGTATTCAGACACCGAGAAATGGATATTTGCCAACATCCCTCTGGCAATGCGACTGCACCGAGCTTGGATCATGTTCTGGGTCAGACCAGCTACGTTGCAGGGTTTGAGTTTGCTGACGTTTGTTGTAGTTCGATTTTCCCTCTATCGTGCGCCCGAATGACAAAACTCTCAAGAAACGACGTGAGGTGAGCAGGCCACGAGAGTTTCGGGGCATTCGTTCCGACGTTTTTTGTCAGGCGATGACGAAATACATCCTCGATAACGCACCGACTAGATACCATGATCATATGATACCCGATTATCGTACGTGTCTGATCAAGGAATCTTCTTTGTGCTCACACGTTCCACAGCTCCAGGTTGCAAGCGGACCGGTTTGTCGGCGGTGGTTAAACTTATGATATGTTCTTTCTCATTTCATTTCATGCAGTCGCAAACAGTGGTTTCCTGGGTGTTCTCCATCGGCCTAACTTGACACTGAACTTCGATGGAATTGCCAACATAGTGGAGAATGGCATCATCACAAAGACTGGTATGTATGGGCCGTCAACGACGTCATCACCCTCCTCACATCCGTTTAGGTGAAATGTTGCCATTTGATGTCATCGTATACGCGACCGGATTCATGGGCGTAAGTGCTACTTACATAAATCTAATATTCTATAAGATACCGACTGCAGAAACAGGAGCGATATACAATGCACGTTCGAGGCTTGAATGGAGCTACTATCCAAGGCTATTATGATGCGCATGGTGGCCCTACTGCATACCTCGGGACCGCAGTTCCTGACATACCAAATTTTTACTTGCTAGCCGGTGAGTTCACAAGGGACATTTTATCATCGATTTATTGCCTGACATTAATTACAGGACCAAATACCGGAACACCAACATCAACGTTGTTCGTGGAAGAAGTTCAAGTAAATCCAGTGTACTTCTTGTGTGTTTCTACTCAACTTTGTCCCAAGATTGGATATATCCTTCAACTCATAGAGCCGGTCCTCAACGGTTCTGCTTCATCATTCACTGTCAAAGCCTCACCCACAGATGCATATAACGCCAAGGTTCAAGAACGAATCTCCCGCTCGGTAGTTCGTGCAATGTTACTCCTGGGCGCGCACGAACGGCACAGGCAAGGTATTTAATCCGTTCCCTTGGCCTGTGACGCTTTGGTGGTGGTGGCTTCGCAAACCGAATTGGGATCATTATGTGGCAGTCGGCGCCGAGAAATGGGTATGGGCAAGGCGAAGAAAAGCGGTTCAGAATATTCTGAAATGCGCTGCAGTCTCGACGCTATTGTGGTCCTATATCAGCGGCTCTGCTCAGCGGATTTTATATGGCATGGTGGTGAGTCCATCATTGTTCTCGATGCCTATCAATTGAACAATCGATATCTTAAGGCAAGCGATTATCTGTGACCTGTGACTATTTGAGCAAGTTTAGCCTCCGTATTTGAGCGCCATAGATGCACGAGACAGATCGTAGTTATACGAAGTAGAAACTTGACAGCTTACATCTTATTTCCTCATGAGCAAGGTTGACGATCGGGAACGATGCGACGATAACCTGTTAAACCTTTTTTCAGTATGAGCGTCGATCATTATGAGGATGGTCCATTGTTCGATGGCTACATCCTTTGTGGACAGTTGTCTGACACACATCCGCAGTCTTCAATGCGCATGTGCGAACGACTGATTCAGCCAGCGAGGCACTGGGGCTCATTACTACGACAAGACAGAGGTACTTTGCTGGGGCAATCTTCGAAATGACCGCATTTGCCATCGCACTCCGGGATGTGGTCAGGACATTTTCCCTCGCGCCACTTAGCGAAGTTGTGCCCAGCACGTCAAGAGATTAAACAAGAATGCGGCGCTAGCCAAGCCTGAGAAAGAGATTGATGTATGTACTGCCGGGTCATCCATTATATTACTGGTCGTATGGGTGGTAGCTGGTTGGTAGACCGTCATGTCAAGCATACAGTCGCTTGGTATATCTGTCAAAGACATAAGCGACGCATAGCGATAACACGCTATCACCACTTACGAATGCAAACCATGAACACCTCCCTCTACCTGTGCACTCGCTGTTCTTACTTCAAACCTGACACGATCCTCCATTACGCCTTCCTGCAGATCCGCAATGCTGCGCATGCCGATATCCTGAAGACTGTGCTGGACACCAACGTATAGATATGGGATGAACGCCTTGACGCTGCCCTTATCTTGCACGTCACCCGATACGCCCTGTGCAACCTTGACTGCAGATGACTCAGAGAAATAGCGCGTCGTAGCGGCGTTCTCGTGCAACCCGTTCGAGGACTGGGACGCGTGTGTCATGGAGCCATTGACCTGACCTGACGCACTCGATTTGCCCTCTTCCATAGCTTCAAGACTACCCATGCCTCGGTAAGACTTCACGCGCTTCCCATCGTGGTAGAAGTACTCTCCTGGTGCCTCTGTGGTACCTGCAAGAAGCCCTCCCATCATGACAGCGCTCGCACCAAGGGCGAGTGCCTTAACAATGTGCCCCACGTTGCCGATACCACCGTCCGCGATCACAGGAACACCGAACTTGGACGCAAACTCAGCAACAGCGAACACAGCCGTGGCCTGTGGGCGACCAGCAGCCATAACCTCCTGGGTGATACAAATGGAACCACTACCCATGCCAACGCGGAGGGCATCTGCCCCTGCGGCAATGAGGTTGGCAGCCTGTTCACGGGTAACAACGTTGCCTGCAATAACCTCGAGTTTTGGGAACGTTTGCTTGATCCACTTAATCATGTCGATCTGAAAAACGGAATTACCCTGGGACGAGTCAAGGACGACGATATCAAGGCCAGCCTCGACGAGGAGCCTGAGGCGGTCTTTGTCGCTAGGTCGCGTGCCGACAGCTGCGGCAGCATACAGTTGCTTGCTGTGGTCCTTGCTAGCCAGCGGGTAATTTTGGTTTTTGAGGAGGTCAGAACGGGCAAGGAGGGAGGTAAGACGACCCTGTTCATCAACGATGGGAAGTTTCCCCTTTTTGCAGGCACGGAGGATTTGGTTGGCTTCTGTCAGTGTAACACCTTGAGGTGCAGTGACAAGTGACGTGGTCATGACCTTATGGAGGGGTGTCTCGGGAGACTCAAACTGCACATCGCGCGAGGTGACGATACCGACAAGTTTAGCCCCTAAAGATCCGGTTTCTGAAGAGCATAGGCATCAGGTTCAAGGGACGGAGGTGATGGCGTACCTGTGATAGGGATTCCGCAGAATCCAAAACGCGTCTTTATATTAAGCACGTCTGCAACGGTGTGATTGGGAGAGAAGATGATGGGATCCGTGATGAAACCATTCTCGTGCCTTTTCACGGCTTGAACCATGGCTGCTTGAGAAGCGGGGGACTGGTTGTGATGAATGACACCAATACCACCTAGCAGGGCGAGACTAATGGCCATGTCTGTCTCGGTGACGGTGTCCATAGGGCTACTCATGAAAGGAGTCTTGAGAATCACATTCCGAGTTATTCTGGTCTCCGTAATGACATCGGAAGCAGGAAAGTCGATCTTTCCGGGGAGCATGAGGAAGTCATTGTATGTGAGACCACCATGGACGCGAGAGTCCATGAGATCCTTGACTGACAGGCCATCTAATCGTTTGTAAGTTGCAAGATGGGCAACAGCCTCTAAGGGAGACAGGAAAGCGCCCGCCATTTTTACTTTGGTCGCTAATTCAAGAGTTTACCATGTCATCGGTAAATTCCGAAGTACTGTAGAATTAAGGTTCAAGCCACACTTGCCCAGTCTTCGATCCTAAACTTACAAGCCCGCGCTCGACAACATCCTCAAGGCTCAAAAATGGGTGCGTCATCGTCGTCTGTATTCACTAGAATGCTCACCTTCTTCAAACAGTCCGCTACGCCGCCGCCGCTCTCGCCACCAATCCCGAAAAAAGTCTGTCTTGTACTTTGATATCGAACCCAACACTCATATAACTGTTTGGTCTCGTTCAGCCGCCCGTGCTCGGGGCGAGTACCTCCGCACGCACTTCAAGAACATGAGGGAAGTTGCTGCAGCCCTCACAGGTCAGTGTCCAAGTCATGGTGATGCTGATGCGTATAAACCCTATGCTCGATTCAGGCTTGAAGCTTACCAAGGCCTATACCTACCTATCTGATGTCTCGGACCACAAACAAGTCATCCCTTTCCGTCGGTTCGCTGGTGGTGTCGGACGGGCTAGCCAAGCCAAGCAATTCAAGGCAACCCAGGGTGCGTCTCGTGATATCAGACAAGTGAATTGCGGAGATTTGACCTTGGTGATATACTATAGGTCGTTGGCCCGAGAAATCCGTCAAGTTCATCACTCGCCTCCTCAAAAACGCAGAGTCGAATGCAGACGCAAAGAGCCTAGAGCTCGAGGACCTTTACATCAAGAACATTGGCGTCCAGCAAGCACCCGTACGTATATCTCGCTCTAAATTTCAGTTGATATCGTAATCTTGTTGACACCTCATAGAAAACTCGCCGCCGCACATACCGTGCACACGGTCGTATCAACCCTTACCAGGGCCACCCATGCCACGTCGAGATCATTCTTGGAGTTTCGGGTGAGGAAGTCGAGCGGAGCAAGGACAAGGACGCTGTGTCATCCTTGTCATCGTTGAACAGGAGACAGGTTGCCAGAAGGAGAATCGAGGCTGCACGCGCTTGATGTCATTCTCTCACATATTTGACACGGCTGGTGATGCGACGATATGCGACAGCACAAGGGCCATGTTTTGTATGCACCTATGCATATGTTATGACACTACACAATCTCATCCGAATCGCATTCAAAGCTAATATATTGAGCAAGATAACGAGTGTTTGCGAGCAACTACAGCGCGATAACAGGAAAGCTAATGAGTGAACGTGTTTATGCGTATACGTGGTCAACGAAAGCAACCGAAGCAAATGAATGTGTGTGGACTGAAATATAAGTCAGTCAATAAAACGTTGGAACGAAAAGCAACAAAGCATCGACAAGAAAAATGTACACGGTGAACGAAAGCAGACTAATGCGTCCAGACTGAAATATAAGCCAGTCAATAAAACGTTGGAATGAAAAGCAACAAAGCAACAAAGCATCGACAAGAAAAATGTACATGGTGAACGAAAGCAGACTAATGCGTACAGACTGGAATATAAGCCAGTCAATAAAACGTTGGAACGAAAAGCAACAAAGCAACAAAGCATCGACAAGAAAAACGAATATTGTTGTTACAAATAGATACTGCATTTCCGGTTTATCTTCTTCCCTAGACGCCGGCTTGAGAGGGTCGTGAGTTCATGAACGCCTAGGGCAGGATACAGAATCATACCTTTTGTCATAAAATATGTCCTCCCATTCCGCTTCCGGGCGACTGAGGTAAGAGCAGATGACCTCCTCTATCCACTGGCAGACGTAATCTACACGCTGGATGTAATAGGGGGTATGGCATCTCTCCATGTCTGTCGCGATGTCAGTACTGACCAACAGGCACACAGGCAACGAACACACCTCGGACAGCTCGCGTGAGAGGGCGGTAACGCCTTAGGTTGATGAGCTTATGTCCCGGCGCATTTGGGTGGTCTACACGTTCCTCATTACCACACTGGCGCTTTACGTCGCCTATGAAAAGAACTGCATGAAGGCATTGTTAGAGGCAGGGGTCAAGTCATCAGCGTCTTTAAACGTACCAAGGGTGGGCAGAGTGGGTCCATGACTACTTTGGATCGCGTCCTTGTAGGCCTTCATGCGGTTTGTGTGGCTGAAAAAGAGACGTAGAGCGTGTAGAATCTCGTCATGCCTGACACCGAGGTTCTGCGAAGTAACGTGAGTGAGAAGACAATATCACAATCTTAGGTGCATACCGATAAAGACCCAACCAAACTCTGTCTGTCGCACGCGGAAAACAATGCCCATGAACCAGCGTAGTTTCTGATGATGTGACATTCCTGCAAGTAAAAGGGCGTGTCAGCTGAAGCCATAATTGTATGACAAAAACCTGACTCGTGCCCATTCCAGGATAAACTGAATCTTCCCGATACGATCCTCCATCGACTGCGCAGACACGATGACATCCAGCGCCCAAAGATGAAGGGCCTTCTCAAAGGAAGCATAAGTGGTCACCTTCGTCCCAGCGTCATTGGAAAAGCCATAAGTGGACTTTCCAGTTGCCTCCTCCACCCAAAAGCGCGCAGCATCCTCGGGCTGGAAGTCCCGGAACTTCTCCCACAAGAGGAGGGTGAGTTGATGGGCCAGGAGTTCCATTCCTTGAGGAGAATCGAAGTTAGACAACTTGATCTTCGTAAACTCCCCCTTAACCATCGCCTTCTTGTCGCGAGGCTCCCATAAGCTGTGGAGCTCTTCAGATGGCGAAGAGCCCTGAATAAGTTGAACCGTCTTTTCGAGGCGACGTCCATTGTATTCTTCGGCGCACGCGACGTTGTGCAATGTGTCGATAAGTGTCGAGGAGACATTGCGGGGGAGATCTCGAGAGAGATCAGAGAATGCGAATTGCAGGAGAGGCGCGAAGACTTCTTGATCTTCCGAGTGGCGCCAATGAAGATCGACCCACTGGTTAAGCAAGCGAGCTACACGCATCTTGACGTGCATGGACTGAATGGGAGCTTTGTCGGGAGACAAGCAACTAAGCAAATTCTCCTTGTATCGCTCCACGAAAGCCTCAAGAACGAGTGTTGGAGTCGAAAAGTAGCGGAAGCAGAGGAAGAAGACATCTGAGAGCTCCAGGTCGTCATCAGAGACTGCAGATGTTAGATACCTGACGAGGCCCTTTAACTGAGGCCAGCTGAAGAACTCCATTCCTGTCCAGAAAAAGTTCCGTACTATCATCTGGGTGAGGGAAGGAATTCTCCAGCTTGCCATCAAATAGCTCGGGAAAGAGGGCAATCGAGTTCCTGATATTCGCAGTCGCGCGAACATGGCTTGCGCGGGTCGTGAGTTTCTCGACAGGTGTCACTTTGTCCGCCTTTAAAAATGGTTGCGAAATCGTGCGGCGCAAGTTGAATGAGAGTGGCGCAAGGATGGCAGCCAGTCCTCGTTTTGTACGTTTGATCGCCAGGGGCTGGACAAGAGAACCCAGATCGTCCATCTCTTCAACGCATGTCCTGTCGGTCGATGTTCCTTCGCTAGACTGGTGGGTATCCTCTGACAGTAAAGAATTTCGGCGAGCTCCATTGAAGTGGTCGCTATCTGCTTGCGCTTCTTCCGCCTTTACCTCCTCCGCGTCTGTCTCCTCCGCTTCAACCTCCTCTTCACATTCTTCAGGGAGTTTCAGGAAGGGGCTTCAGTTGACGCATCTCGCGCTCGGCAACTTTCATGAGCCTTTTCAGGCTAGACATGGCCGCGTCCAAAGATTCGAGAATCTCACAACTAAATTGCCTCCTGCAAACCGGTTCGAAGTTCTTGTCGTCAAGGAGGTTGACATGACTCATGAAGAGCAGCCTGTAGTGCCGGACTCCGGACTCAGCGTTCCTGTAGCCCGAGGCATTTAGAACGACCTGGGGGAGCTGCGTCATCGAGCGTAAAACCGTAGTAAAATTGTGCAAAAAGTTCAGGGACAAAGTACGGATTGATGAAATGTCCTGTGCGTCTGCGGCTTCGCGGAGACGTCTGGCGGGATCGAGGATCATCGGGAATGTTTTTTCGATGTCGAACTGTGGGGCATTGAGGGAAGATATACAGAACGACGAAACAGCGGGGTTGTTGCTGGTAGCATTATCCGACTTCTGCGTAGGAGATTCTCCAGGGCCAAGTACGATGACTTCTGGTTCTAGTTCGAACTGAAGAGTTGCTTTCCGCTTGATAGTGCGAGCCTTCGAGGGACTTGGGGTTACTGTGTTGGCCATTTATATGATACAAGTATCAATACGAATGATGTGCGAGAGGAGGTGGTCTCAGATAGCATCAGGTTTTTATAGTGAGGCTTTAGATTGCCACCCATTGTTTAGCTGTGGACATCGTGGACTTTAGTTGTGACCACAAGTCAGCTTTAGGACGAGAAAGAGTGTCCACACTTGAGGACAGTGGAACAACTTGTATCCACAGCCAAAGCCACGAAACTTCTTCATTGAAGCGCATTTTGTATTCTGCGAAGGGTGATTATTATGGCATTATAGGCCAGTTGAGCTTTGGCTTTCAAGTAGAGATCCTTCGAATATGGTGATATCAGACGTCACATTTTCATTCTAAGTACGGCGTACCCGGTATCAACTTCAGAGTGACCTAGTCACTAGCAAGATCTGAGGCCATCATTTCAGGTGCATAACACACTAAATCCGACTATGCAGTTAGTTAGTCACCAATTACATGGGCCCATCAGTGCGTGCTCTACTTGTAACCCACGTAAGTTGGATTGATGATGATGGGTAACCGGTTGAATGCAATTGATAAACGCTTAAGCACTCCAGTTGTAGTCATGGAAGCTTAAAGCGCTTAAAGGCCCAAGTTGGCAACCCGGTTGTATTATAATCACATGCCGGTTGCCTGTCACCGAAGGAGCTGACCGAGCGCTCGTGGCAAAGCGTCGTATATGTAGTCTCGGGATTCTTACCGGTGGATAGTTGCCCTCACCTCTCATTACATCTAGTTTACTTGCCCAGCCCACAGACCTTTGCTCTTCACGCTTACACCCGCTTCACATTCTCATACCAGGCCCGCTCAGGTGTTGCTTTGTATATCTCAACGTGGCGAGTACACCCTGGTAGGAACATTCAAGAATATAATCCAGACAGAATGATTACAACTGCATTGACAAAACTTCTGGGCATCCGTGTGTAAGTTAATGTACGTCTGCTTTTCGAAAGACATACATTTACGGTTTGTTCCACTGTTGACAGGCCAGTAGTGCAAGGGGGTATGCAATGGTAAATGACATCTGTGCCAGCGAAGTTCTGTTGAGAATGATCTGATTGTTGCGCGCAGGGTCGGAAAACCTCCACTTCCTGCAGCCGTGTCGAACGCGGGAGGTCTTGGTGTGCAATATTGTTCGCTTCCCAGCCGCATCCGCTAACTTTGCTGTAGGGTTAATCACTGCACTCACACAGCCAAGTCCCGAAGCTTTGCGCACTGTGATTCGTGAAACGCGCGCGGCAACTGACAAGCCCTTTGGCGTAAACCTCACGATTCTACCCTCGATTAACCCACCAGACTACGAAGGTTTCGCGCGTGCAGCTGTAGAAGAGGGCGTCAAGATATTTGAAACAGCAGGGAACAATCGTGTGTAGTCTCGTGTTCTCATCAGTCACAATGATTTTGACACAACTCATAGCGGGAAAGCTCATTGAGTTCTTCAAGTTGCATGGGTGCATTGTGATACACAAGTGCACCACAGTTCGACACGCCAAGGTTCGCTCCCCGTTTAATCAGACTACGATGTATATTTCATGTACTAAAGCGGGCATGTAGTCTGCAGAAAGACTGGGCGTCGATGTTGTGAGCATCGATGGTTTCGAATGTGAGTCTCTTGTCTGTCTGTTCAGAATTTGATCGCGACACCTGACGATATCATTAGGTGCTGGTCACCCCGGGGAGGAGGACATTGGTGGCCTTGTTCTGGTGCGCTTTATCACCAGCCATGTACTATCATTACACAGTAACAATTCACAGCTTGCAAGAGCCGCGCAAGAACTCAAAATACCCTACATTGCGTCGGGCGGAATCGGAGATGGACGTGGATTGGCCGCTTGCCTTGCGCTCGGTGCCGCTGTTCAGTACTGCACCTCCTCCATCATAATTTTATTGATCACCTGCACGTACAGGGAGTGAACATGGGCACACGTTTCATGTGCACAGTTGAGAGGTACGGTAGTAACACTGTAACTCCATACCCTTCTCACTTACGCTGTCTAGTCCCTATCCACCAAAACATCAAAGAGAAGATTGTCGCCTCCACCGAATATGATACCACCCACATATTCCGTACCTTTGAACAACACTTCACGTGTTTTTCAAGAATGTAGTCTCACAGCAAGTCGTTGACATCGAGCGACGGCCAGGTGGGGCGAAGTTTGAAGACGTCCGCGACCTTGTCGCTGGCGCACGAGGCAGAATTGTGTTCGAGAATGGTGATCCCGACTATGGGGTTTGGACTGCAGGTCTTGTACTTGGCTTGATCAAGGACATCCCGACGTGCGAAGAGCTCTTGTCGCGCATAGAGAGAGAGGCAGAAGAGATTATCGGTGGGATGGCCAAGCTGGTCAATGCGAAGGCTAAGTTGTAATGCTGTATACCTGGTTATTCGTGATATTTACCTTGCTGTTCATTTTTTCGTAAGTACGTGATGCGTAGGAAGTCAGGTGAGTCAATAAAGCGTCTTGACTCTCGACCAGTTTGTCAACCCTTGTGGAATTATGCGGGGAGGAAGCCAGCAGGAATGTAAGTCAGCATCGATGGTGGCGTGCAATGCGGG